TTATTTTATAAGTAATCACATTAGTTATCATATTTGATTGTCTATCTTTTACGGAGTCTTCTTTTTTTCTGAATATTAACTAAATCGCAGTTTACTTAAAGTATTTCAAAAAGTTGATTATAGAAATATTTAGAATACATCACTTCTGTTTCTGAACATCATTTATGTATATTATACAATTTTTTAATTTTTACTTAATTGCTCTTTTAACCTAATGTTGCTTTCTTTTATTTCTGTTTTTTTCTTTTAATGTCTTATTCTTAATATGGGTTTTTTGTTCTTTATCTATTATAGTATTATAATATAAACTGATTCTTACTATTGATTTGGTTAACAAATACAAGTAACAGAACTGAATAAAGATTATAAAAATTATTAAAAAATAATTATTTATTTCTATTTTCTCATTCTTTCTTGTAGTTACATTTATTCTACATTGTGCTTTATTATTATGATATTATATTATATATAGCTATAAATATGTTGTGTTTATTGAGAAATTAATTGAGAACAATTTTATAAATTAAAATCATTAGATTATATAGGTTTTGCAATTCTCTTTTCTACATGATTTTATGTTATTGATAATAATATTAATATTATTACATATTACATGTAAAGATTCTACTTTCTTTTTCTTTATTATGATTATTTTTTAAGCTTGTACTATATAATAATTATAAATAAGCAATTTAATATTATTAAATTGTTATTATTATTTTATATTTAATATTATTAAATTAATTTTAATATAAATTAAATATTATTGTAACGCGGTATTTATCAAAGGAAGCCAGTTAATTGATCACCATACTGGAAATTAACTTTTGCAAGATTTTATAATAATATACAACATAAGGAAATAATCATAGTGTTCACGATCATTGTTGTTCCTACGGCAATTTGGCGTACGAAAATAAGCTGATACACACTCAGTAATTATGGCTATACAAGGATAGTAACAGGATTTAATAAGCGCTCGTAAACTGACAAAAGAGTCAGAATGACTCTTATAATGAGAATGATAAGAATGGAAAATGTAGCTAAAATTAGTCAGGCAGGGAAAGAAAGATTGTATACGTCACAGTGGCGTATAAATAGTGCAATAAAAAAGAGAGGAAGAATACAGTACTGTATATGTATATAACAATTCATTGTTGCAAATGCGTGAACAATACCCAAATTTTTCCCATATTAAGTTTTTAATCCGCATATACATTTAAATAACAAAGGCACTCTTATGCCCGCTTTTATGCACACTACGTACTCGGGGATATACAAGTAACTAAACACTCCAGTGCATACGCATTGCATTATATATATTTCAATATTAAACGTCTTCTCAGTCATCGTTCTATTGCTTTTTTATTAATGGAAGTTATTATTCAAGTTTTTTTTTAAATGATTATTATTTATTTTATTTTATTTATCACATATTTATTAATATTTTTCAAAATATAAATATTTTTTATTGAAGATTTATCAAAAGAATTAGTGTTATTAGTTTTATATACAAAATTTAAGATTTATAAGTATTGTAAACCATTATGTGTTTTATTAATATTCTAGTATTTACAGATATGTATATATATATAGCAATATAAAATTCTATATGAATTGATAACAATTTATTAATTTTTTTATTCTTTCTTTCATTACTATTTTTAAGTCTTTCAATATTGTTTTATGAATGTTATATCATAGTAATATTATGTTATATTTGTTCATATCATTGTTATTATAAATATTCATTATTATATTTACTATAATTTTATAATATTTAATAATGATTTATATTGGGAAATGAAAAAAGTTTTGAGAACGAAGAAAACGATGAGGAAAATGCAACAATAATAAAGTATATGGCTTTACAATAAAAAAATTATATTATTTATAATTAAGGTAAAACAACAGAATAATAAATAATTAATATTTTCAATATGATTATTTGTGAATTGCGTTCAAATAAAATGATTATATAATTATCAATTGGTTTTAATAATATACAATGATTAGATACTGATAAAGCTTAGATATTAGTATTCGAAGGTAAAAGTTTGAAATAAGATCAATTGTTCCTAGTTATCCATTTTTCGATCTTTTCCTTTCATTTAATTCTAAGTAACAATTTTTATACATCTTTTTATATTTTATTACTTTCTTCAAATAAATACATATAAAATTCATAAATAAAGCATGTATATTTAAAAAGTTTGATGTACAAATAAAAAAATTTTTTATATCTTTATTTTTATATTAAATTAAAATTTTTATATCTTCATAGAATTTATTACACATAATATATTATTTTTGATAATTTTATATTATAAAAATAATTAACAAATTTCTTAATTTAACATTTAATATCATACTATTTTTTAAATATTTTTTAAATTTCGTTGTTTCTCATTATGAGAGTGATGTTCTTTTGTGAACCTTGTATTTTTCTTCTGGAGTTCCTTAAGTTCATTCAAAAGAATTATTTCAGAGTGCTACATTGTTACAGATTTTATAATCTACACTATTTAATTAAAATATTTTTTTATATATTAATTTTTGTTTTTCTAATTTTATATTCTATATAATGCAAAGAATCTGCTGAATATAAAACTATGAATATATAAATTATAAAGTTTATTAAAAAATTAAAGTCTATTAGGTCTTATTAATTTCCACAATTTCAGTGAAGTTCTATACAGTGTTCAAATAAGAATAAACAATAAATTATGTACTGTAAAATAAGTATATTATTTAAAGGCAAAATAGGAAATTACTATTTTCTTTATGTAAAATAACAAATTTTAATTAATTTACTTGTTTCAAGTTGTTAATTGTAAAATAATAAAAAATATGGAATCATTTTTTTTACAAATCTACCAATTATCAAGTATTTATTAAAAAATTTTCTTATTAATTATCTTAAAAAATGTATACTTTTTTGTCATAAGTAAATATTGTTTTGCATTTATATTATATAATAAAAATTCCAACATATGTATGCATTTAGTAATACAATATATATTTTAAATTAATTAGCCATTTTACAACATAAAGTATTTTTGAAAAATAATTTATTGTTAAGAATAAAAAATTAAAACAATATTTATTTAGATAATGACATTCACATATTACGATAAAAATATTTCAATATTATAAAATATGTATTATTTTCAAAATCATATTGCACAAAGACAATAATTATTTTAAAGAAGAAATAAAATGGAATTTTATTTTCCAGAATCACCAAGGTGATATTTTAAAAGTTGTTAAACTAAGCAGTTTAGTGCAGTAAAATTCAAATACGTTATTTAACCAATTATAACTTTTAAAACAACGATTTGATAGCATTTTTAAATTATGGTGTCTAATATTATATTAGAACTAGTTTTGTAATAAAATAAATTTTAAACTAATTTTGCAAAAAAAATAATAATAAAGATTTGTGTACTTGTGCTGATATGTAATTATTGTATTTACACTATGTACTTATACAGAAACAATTGAAAGAATCACTTGTTTCCCCTGTATTAATATATAGAAATAAATATTTTTTTATAATTATATATTTTTATAATTAAATATTTTATTATAAATATATTGTCGAAAATATCATTTGAATTTTTTAATGTTTTTATATTAGAAAAACTTTTACATACATTGTACATCATCCATTTTTTAGTTAATAACCATTATATTAAAATATATTTATAAAAAAATTTTATTTATATTTGTTTTAAATAAATATTTTATTGTTAGTAATTTAATAAGAAGATATGAGGGTATTTTAATAATACTGTAAATTCTATTGAAATGGTATTTTAATTATAATTCATTTATATATTTTACGTGTTTATTAAATTAATGTCAAAAACTTAAATTAAATCATTTAATTATAAACTAATTAATAAGGTTTGAAAATTTATATTATTGTCTTGGGAACCTAAGGAAATTTAAAATGATTCTTCCTATAAAGCTACAAATATTTTGTATATTTTAAACATATCGAACTAAATAAGATATATGAATAATTATTATGAAATATTTATATAATCATCTAGAGCAGTTCTATTGGACAAAATTTGAATGAATCTGATACAAAAAGAAGTACATTTATAAAAGAACATTAAATTAAAATTTTAATGAAATGTAATAAATATAAATTCGTGATATCAACAAAATTAGCACGCACAAGCAAGTGATTTTAAGTATAAATTATTATTAAAATTGTAATGGTACTGAGTACATTGGAGAATTAATAAATATTATTTATAAATATTATTTAATACAAAATAAAAGAAAGAGTTTATTTATGATATAAAAATAAATATATGTGTGGCTAATGTTAACTATTTCATATTTATAAAATTTATTATCAACAGGAGATTAATAATATAAATAAAATATTAATTTAGTTTATTTAATTTATTTTAAGTACAAAATAAGATCTCATATTGTAACTAATAAAAGTATTCTCTTATAAAAAAATTATACATATTATTTTTAAATATACTAACCAAAATATTAATAAAGTGATATTAAAAATTATTTTCAAATCTTTTATGTAATTCATATTTAGTTCCTTGTGATATTTTAATTTATGTAAATATAATTTTTTTAAGTATTTTGTTAAAAAATTGATTAACTTAATTAAAATAAATGAACAAAAGTATTTAATGCATATTTATTGTATGTCGATGAATTTTGCTGAAACTATTCCTTTTCTGTATAAATTTTACAAATACATGTAGATATGTCTTTTACTATTATTCAATATCCTTGATAGAATTTCTGTACCACATTATTTTTTCAACTCAAAATACAAACATTCTTCTATAATATGTTTTCGCCAAATTATAATTCGTTAATAATTATATTCTTTCAATTTTTGAATCTCGTAACGATGTTAATGTTATATATTAATTAGTTCCATTTCATAATTAAAATTTAAATTGAAAACTAAATTATATAAAATAAATTAAAATTTCAATTATTCACCTAAAATGACAGTTGGCTTTTTTTTTTTTTTTTTAAATATACTATTTGTTTCAAAGATTTAGGATATACGAAAATGTCATAGGAATTGGTTTCGGCAAATCCAAATCAAAGGAATTGGCGCGGTATACTGATTGCTCTACTCGTTATCATCGCAGTTCTCGCTCTAATTGTTACATCTGTTGTACTGCTAACACCTCCAGAAGAAGGACCTCGAATTAGGGGTTCTCGTATAAAACTCTCGGAGGTGAGAGGTTTACTTACAATTCCAAAATTTCACATTAAAAATTTTGTAGTTTTTCTTATCGTACTTATGTAATTCATATTAATTAACAAAATGTTATATTTGATTTAATTTTAAAATGATACATGTAAAATTTAATTATCTTTAATAAAATTACAAAAATAATAAAGATATACAGTTTTATTCAGATAATAATAGTGATATATTACAGGTATTATATAGAGAGCTATTGCCTTTGCTCTTTAACGGTTCGTGGGTGAGTAACCGATATATATGTTACCGTGACATTTGGGGTGGGATTTCCCTTCTTGATGCATCTGATCCTAATGTTACCTCTTGGAGCTTAATGCCGAATGAGACCTTTGTAAGTATATAAAAATCATTGCTTAATATTAATTTTGTTTTTTTTTCACAGAGCTTAGCTAGTTTTAATTAATCACGCATTAATGATATAACGAATTAATTATTATTTTTTATACAAAAATTTAATGATTTCTTAAAATTTGTTGAAAATTTCTTTAAGTTAAAATTTGTTATAGTTCTCTTATGTTAAAATTTCTTAAAGTTTGTAATAATTGTTTGTATTATTAAATAAACGATATTTTTCTGTTACTTGTACTTATTTTTAACAAAATATTGTTTATATTAAGAATCATGATAAAAAATAAGTGTAATTAATAATGAATTAAATATATTGAAGACTTTAGAAATTAATGATTAATTTACATGTATAAACATACAAAATCAATAATTATTTTTTCAGAGGAGACTTGCTCCAATAAAATTCTCTCTATCTCCTGACCATAAGTACTTGCTCTTAACTCAAAATGTCAAAAAATTATTTCGATATTCATACTTAGCGCAATATATAGTTTATGATGTCAATACCAGGTAAGTATGTAACTAAAACCAAAATAAATAAGGATAAACAATTAATGATTATAAAATTGACAAAAATATTACAGAGAAACAGCTTTACTGGCAATGAATTCTGAAAAAAATAATCATCCATATTTACTTTTGGCACAATGGACCCCTCATGGACATGGCCTTATTATAGTTCAGGACTATGATATATATTATTTAACAGAGCCATTCAATAATTTACGTTATCGTGTTACAAATTCTGCTATACCTGGCATTCTATCTAATGGATTACCTGATTGGCTGTATGAAGGTATATTTCCAAACTAATAATGTCTTATAGAAATATTTAATCAGTAATACATACATTTTATAATATAAAATTCCATGATCAACACAATAGAATAAGAAGTAAATTCAGACCATTTTAATTATAATTTTGTATTTATAACCTTCTAAAATTTGTATATTATTCATATTCAACATGAACCTTGAATAAATGTTCAACATATTTTGATATATACAAGCTATACATACATTGGTTAGTTTCTTCCTTTCCAAAATTTATAATATTGGGAAGTTTATAGTTCAAGCATGCATTCTTTGTTTCTGTATAATTTTTCAAATTAGACTGTTTGGCCCTTGAATTATCACATATTTAAGTCTAATTGTCTTTTATTTCTATTTATTATACCATTCATTCTACATGCAATTAAAATATTTATTTCTAAGCAAGTATGTTATACAATTTATTAACTATTAATTTTATAAATACAACACATTGATTATATATATGCCCAGTTAATTTAAAGCATCAGTTCATAATAGATATTTTACCTAGTCACTTGTCATCTATGACCTTGTAATTTATAATATTGTATTAATTGTATGTGTGACTAATATCTCAATTTTCATAATATATTAATTATTGAATTATTGGATTCTATCAAATAATAAGCAATTTCTGAATATAAAAAACATCATAAATTTAAAAATAATGTGAAATAAATACATTTAAGGCTTTAACTTCACAATTTATAAATTATATTATATTATATATATTATATTAAACTATATAAATTTTATATAAATTCTATTTTATTCATAAGGTGATTAAAATACTAACTGAATAAAATTAATATAAATACATATTTTTTATTTGAAGTTTTTTATATTTTTAATTTATTTTAAACATATATACTTCATAAATTTTTTAATAGTATAAACCATATCCTATTATTCAGTTATAATTTTATACATTAATTTTTTTAAGTTCATTTAAATTTGAAAATTAATTTATTAGAATAACAAAAAAATCATATCATTATTATTGAATAATTTATCAAACTAATTTATTGAAAATTTCACTACCAGTTTTGCCTTATTTTAATGAGTCTATTCGTTTATATTTCTGTATAGTAGAAAGAATTCTGTGTGAGAAATTCAATTTTTCTATTATGATTCCAACTTAATGTTTCAATTTGTATTTTGCTTTTGTTAATATTGCTAAAAGATTATCTTAATAAGTTTTTGATTAATATTTAATTATTATCTTTATTAATATATAGGCTCCACATTAAAAGATAGTGAATAACGAAGAAATAATTAACATCAATTTTTTTTACAAAAGAAGTACATTTATTTGTTAGAAGAAATACACAAAAAAATAGCAATTAGAAAATTGCCCCATTTTTCAATACGATATACAAAAAAATAAATATTAGGATTTTCTTCAATATGATATACAAAATATGAATATTCGTATTTTTCTTCAACGTGATGTACACAAAAATTTATATTATCTTTATAGAAAATGTAGACAAGGAGGAACAACTTAAGTTAGTGCTTCTAAGCTGCAATTTATAATTTATATTAAAATTTATCTATATTAAATTACTACTTAACTATTAAAATCTATGTTAAAATTGGTTTACATTTGTAAGTCTTTCGAAACAAATAATACCATAACATTTTTAACCTATTGGAATAATGTTTGTAGTTATTAGCATTCTATTATGTTTATAATTTATTATTACAGTTACTATCATTATATAACATGCAAATGTAATAAGTATATCATAAAATAATGAATAATTATGTCAAATTTTAAATATTTATTATTCAATATTATGTTAAAATTAAAGTTATTGACCAAGAAACATGCAAAAAGGTTTAAATAATACTAAAAATTTGTTAAATAAAACTAAGTAGATGTTCTTATTTAATATATTTATGTGTTAAACTATATAACTATATAGCACCTATAAAAAATAAAAGAGCTTTTGTTACATATTTGAGCATGTGCATTGTACCTTCATTTTAATCACTTTTCAACAATCAAATAATAGAAATTTTTAACTTTTTAAGTTTTTAAGATTTCAATTTTTTATTTTTTTGCCACACTATGCTTTCATCAAAGATGATTATTGGTAAATTTAATTCTGTCTTATTCATAATTTTAATTCAGTTTCAATAAAAAAATTATAATTATAATCTGGTATAATATATTTAGTAATAGTATTCTATTAATATATATTATATTATATAAATTTTATAGACTTTTATAAAGTATTTTTATTATTTATTATAAAGTAATTATGGTTTAAGTTTAAAATTTTAAAATTTATTTACTATAATTGTTTTAAGATTAGATATATTTTCAATGAATATTATTTTTTCACAAAATGCATTTAATTGTATATTTACAGAAGAGATTTTGCATAGTTCAGAAGCAATATGGATGTCAAAAGATTCGCATATTCTCCTTTATGCAAGTTTCAATGATTCCTTGGTTGGAGAAATGCATACTTCCTGGTATGGAAATATCAACAAATCACTATATCCTGATATTCGATCACTACGCTATCCAAAGGTTTTTTTATTTATATAAATTTTGCATTAATGCAGATATCTTTTATAAAATTTCTGTATTTATAAAAAGTAAAATATAAAAAATTAAAAATTAATTTTAGTAATGTTATCTAGTTTTTACAGTTTACATACATTTTATAAGAAAAGTAAAATATCTTTAATCAAAATAAACAATACTAAAAGTAGTCTGATTATAAATTCAATTTAAATATATTATTTTCTCAATTTAATAAAGTCCTTGTTTTAATAGTTATCAACTAATTTATGTTATATTTTATTTGCCAAGAATAATTAAAACATTTTATAAATATAATTTGTTATGTATAATTTGAAAAAATATTAGCATATATTGATTTTACAGTTAATCGCACTTATTAAATGAAACTTTTCATTGAATTCCGTTTTTATGCAACAAATATTTTACACAAAAATTTCCGTTAATGTTTATTGTATTTAAAATGAATGTATTTAAATTCAAAATGTTTTAATTACTTTGTATGCAAAGTTTAGCAACGAAAATTATTTTTATATAATTTAAAATATTTTTTTACATTTCATACATAATATATAAAATATTATTTAATAATATTATATAAAATATATAAAGTTTTTTGTTGATTCTAAACTAGAACAAATTAAAAATAAATTTATAATTAAATTCTGTATAAAGTTTATAAGTGAAAACGATAATTACATATTTTATTTTATAGCCCGATACTCCCAACCCACTGGTGATGCTGTTTGTCGCTGACTTAGCTGATCCCAAAAATATACATACAAAATTAGTGAAACCGCCGCCTATCATTGCGAATGCGTGAGTTTATTAATCTGATTTGAAATATATAAAAATATTACAATTCTAATTTGAATTTTGTGTATATTATACCCATAAAAATATACCAAATACTAATTGGTCCATATTTTTCTTCCAGAATATATTCTATATTATCTGTATTTTAAATATTTGTGTATATAATGTAAGTTATTCACAATTCTAAAAAAATAATTAAAAATTGTCAAATAAATAAATAATACATATATATTAAAATATTTTCTTTAGTTACAATTTTTTATAATTGAATTTTATACTTGTTTAAAAATTAAAATTAATTTTCTGTAATTATATTATCTCTTAAAATTTATTATAATAAAATAATTATTTCTTTAAATTTTTTTTTTTGACAAATGGTATAATTTATTTTTCATATTATTACAGTCTTTTTAAGATGTATATCACTTTTTCTTATAATATTGTATTTCAGAAAACAAATATTTTTTATAAATCTATTCTAATTTATATTTAAGACAATAATTTCAGTTTGAAAATACCATTAAATATCTTATGATTAACAAAGCTCAATGAATGCATAGGTTTTTTTATATTTAAAACAATCAAATTATAAAATATTTTTTATATAAAAAACGTACAATTAAAAAAGTATAAATTAATGTATATAATATAATAATTTTATGATATAAAATTACCATAACATATTTTATGACATTTATAGATCAAATATTAAGATTTAAAGGAAATGACAATAATTATTCATACTAGTCATATAATAATAATTTTAGAATTAAACTTTGACCACAAATTTTAATATTTTTAATGTACAATTTTAATTTATATTTATATTTTTAATACCTAAGTAGTTAATAAAATAAAATATTATAAGGATATTACATTTTATAGCGAACACTACTTTACTACTGCATCCTGGATTTCGTCAACAGAAATATGTATAACATGGATGAATCGACCACAAAATATTTCTGTGGTAACAGTTTGCAAAAGTCCATTATGGAAATGTCAGGTTTGTAATAAATTGATCTTTTAAATAATTTACACTAAATATCAAGTTTTATTAGTAAATGTGAATACCAGTATATTTATTATACTTCTGTTTTTTAAATGTTCAAAATAATATCTTATGTATTTATTATTTTAAAAATACTTATAAAAATGATTATATACAATAATTAAATATATATCTAACCATAAAATATTATACACTGTTCTTAACACTAAATCATTGAATTATTGTATTATAAATCATAAAACGATTAATTCTAATGCTTGATTAGAAAAAAAAATTCATTCTAATATTTCATTATCATTTTTTTAATTCGTATATTTAACTTATTCTTTTTATTCGTGCAGTGTATATTGTGCTTCATCAAATATCTATTATGAATGATATATTCCCATTCTTTATTTTAATATATTTATTTTATTTATTTGATTATTTGTATTTTATTTTTATATTTGTATTCAAAATTTCATGATTTGAACTCCAAATTTATAGGAACCAAATTCAAAATGCAATTTGTAATTGTATAATGTAATTATTTTGTTTATAATATTTAATTATAAACTGAATGACGATCAAATTATTATTATATTAACCAGTGTTATATTATTAATTCATTTACAATTTAAGTTTCCTTGTATTTATGACTAAATCAATATAGTGAATTATACATTTATATGAGTTTTTTAATAATTTATTTTAATAATTATATAGAATACTATTGTTTACCCATTTACTTGATTATTTTATTTTAATATTGTTAACTATATTAAGACTAAGTAGAAGAAAAAGATTTAATTATTATTCAATTAGTAAGATTAATATTTTATTTATTTATTATAATTAAATTTATTTCATCTAAACAGATTATGATTTTACTTGAAGTTTCAAATAAAATATCAAATGTATCAACATATTCCTAAAATTATTATTATTAATCATGTAAAATTGATTTTTTAATACTTCTTTATTTAATAAACAAATAATTGTTATTAAATAAATCAAATAATTGCAATTAAGTTAAGTTTTAAAACTACTTTATCACTGTATTTTAAGATGTATTTAAAAAAAAATTTATTTAAACTTGGTTGGTTTCATTTATTTTATATAAACAAGGTTTAATTTATGTAACAGTATTACAAAACTATATAAACTATATTCTATTTAAATAAATTGTATCTAATTATAGATTATTATAATTATATTTTAAATATAGATATTTAAAAATTAGTGTTTTTATGCTGTTACCTATAGCGTTCAATTTATGCTGTTTCTTACTAATCGTGATTCTTAAATGCTTGAATAAAAGTTAGAATATCATATTTATTAATGATTGTAAGTAGGGGCCGCAGGTATAAGTTATATGTATTAATCATGTAAGATATAATTTATTTTTTCTTTGTTATTGTCAAGTATATGCTGTGTTATATATATTGAATAATCATAGAATTTAAAATTTATTGCAGGAAATTCAGAGAATAGTTGGTGAAAATCACGGTTGGGTTGATACTCCACCTGAAGCTCCTGTTTTTTCAACAAATGGTTCAAGTTATATTACTATTGCTCCGGTAAAAGATGGCCCAACAGGATTCTACAAACATATAGTATGGGTTAATGTTTTAAGAGAACAAATTGTACCTTTAACTCATGGGAAATTTGAAGTTACCAGAATACTTGCTTGGGACCAAGTTAATAATACTATGTAACTATTATATTTAATATTATTGCATATTATTAACCATTTCAGTAATACTACAAATATTACATAAACTAATAAAATTTGTATTATAAATTCAAAAATAAGTGATAATTTTATTATTTTATTGATTATTGAGAAATTATACCAAAGTTTTTACTAAAAATGTTTTACACATAATTTCTTAATCTTAACTTAAATATTTATTGTACTTATTAAAAACATAATAAAAAATACATTGGTATATATGTCGAATTTTTATTTTATTGTCAATATTTAAGAAAACAAATTATTTAATAAATAAATAAAGCAGAAAATAAAAATCATTTTTAAAAATTCCAATATTATTAACACAGACATTAAAATTCATTAAAGATCTAAGTTAATTTAAAAAAATATTACTAGTGGCTCAAACTTGTCAATATAAAATAAAAATCCAAATAAGAAAGTGAATTTCATTTAAATATTAAGTATTTAACTTTTCATACAGTTTTTTATTTTAATTTCATTTAAAATCAATTTTATGTTTTATAAATAAAAAACTTACACCAACAGATTTTATATATTCTAATAATAATTAATTTATATTATTCATATATTATGAGTAAATACATATAAATTGATAATCTAAATATGTTCCCATAAATTAGAAATATCACTTAAAAAATTTTGATTATAAAAAATAAAAAAATAAATAAACATATATATACACATATTTTTACGATAGCTACGAACTATTGTAAGGTATTTTGGTTTTTATAAACATAATAAATTATTTTGATTGTTAATGCTATTATTTAATTTAATAAGTGTAATCATCATGAAATAATCAATAAAGTATGAAATATTAAAATAATGTTGAATTCTTTCTTAAACAATGATTATTAATATGAAAAAGGTTAATAATTAGCATTCGAATAAAAGATAAATGATTATTATAATACACAAATTCTTAGAAAATCACATTTTTTTAAAAAATATTCTTGTTTACAGCATTAAACTATTCACTTTAAGAAAGTTATAAATGATTGTGTTTTTTAATTCTTAATGTATTAATTGATTACAATAAATATTTGATATTCAAAATTTTCCTTTAATTAATAAGCAACAAATTAAAATGAAAACAGAAAATAGAATTGTATGTAATTACTATATACATTTTTATTTGTGCTATGTTGTTTAAATAGATACTTCATGGGAATACCTACGAATCGTCCATCACAGCGTCATTTATACCGCGTGAGTTCGCAAATTCCTCAAGTCGGTAGATCTTTGCATTCTGCAATATGCTTGAGTTGCAGCGTCTTCTCAAAACACGAAAATCATAATATTGTAGATAATGATGCAGCAAAAACACTTGATTTTGATCACATTCATCTTAATAGAAATTTTAACAAACTTAATGGCGATGAAAATGTCAGAAAAGAATATTTAATCTCCAAAGCTTATGAAATTAGAATACAGGATAAGAATAAGATTAAACAGTCCAGTAAGTATTTGATAGTATTGTTATACAATTAAGAGCAGGAAGAATATAAGAACAATTGAGTATTTTTTTAATAAGCATAAAATATTACTTAAAAAAAATTTAGTCGTAATCTGTCAAATTAGTCTGTAATAACAATTATTTTCTTCATACTGACACTTATAAAGACAGAAATTTTCTTTAGAGCGATTAATTTATCATGCAATTAAAGAAAATATAATATATATGTTCTAAATTTTATTTTATAAAATCTTTTTATTATAAAAAAATATATTTCTTTTTAGAAAATCCGGAATCATGTCAGTATTATAATGCTATTTTTCCTTCAAATTTTGAATACTTTGTTTTGGAATGCCTTGGTCCAGGTATCCCAACAGTTACCCTTTACAAGACTGAAATGCCAATGCCACGTTTTATTATATTATTACAAAATAATGCTCTTCTTAAAGTGAGTATAAACAGTACAAATTGTTTTTCATTTTTCACTTATGAATAAAGAGAATTAATTTATGTATTTCTATATAATAATAAATCTACAAGGCATATTCATTTGACTAACAATAAAAAAACATCATTTTCTTTTTATATTAATCATAAAATTTAAATGGTACACTTGAGGCATTATTATGTATATAAATGAAAGTATATATGTATTATATTAAAATTATTTAATATTTTTCTTATATTTTTATTATACGTATATTTTTGTTTAATAGATATAAATACATGACTATTAAAAAATATGCAATATTTTGAACATAAAAATTTACGATAATAAATTTGTTTGTAAATATATTTAAATAATATATATTGTTAAGTTTTATGTATCAATATATTTAAAAGCAAATTTTTATTGTATTTAGCAATTTAAATAATGTAATTATCTATACAGTTTTTTTAAATTATTAATTTATAAAATAAAGAATAATTCAATGTTAAAGATTAATATCACTACTATACATATATTATACAAAGTAAATAATGTATTATTGTATAACATTATTTTAATTAAATAAAAAAGAATATTTTTAATGAAGTAATTAAATTATATTAGTTGAATAGTATTTTTACTTAGTTACATAATATTAAATATCTTAAATTTTAAGATGTATTGTGTATGTATTAGAGATAAGATATTGATTATTAATTTAACCTTTCAAAAATAATTCTTATATAGATCCTTAATTCATCAAAAATATTTTGAGTATAACTTATAATAGAAGAAAATTAAATTTTTTTTATGATATACAATAATTCATTTTTTTCTAATTATATTATTTTGTATAATTTTTTTAATTCACTTCAAAATAAGAATTCGTTACAATAAAATTTATTATTTAAAACTTTTATTTCGTTAATTATTTAAAAGGTAGTAAATATTTGTATTAAATTTAAAAATAAAACATATAATAGATAAATCAGATCTTAAGCAATATTTTGGATTAATATAATTCTATAATTATAATAAAAATATAAATTTTCTTAATATATAAAAAAAATTAAATAAAAAATATTAAACCCTATCGTTTTGATAAGTAATGAAGCTACATATATTTTTCATTATATTAAATGTAGATTACAATGAAATTATTGAATATTTATAGGAAAAGATAGCAAATTTGGCCCTCCCACAGATCAAGACTTTTCCTGTACAAATAAGCGGTGGCTACAATGCTCAAGTAAAATTATATCTTCCTCCTGGACTTCGAGAAGATGAAATTACTCGTTATCCACTAATAGTACAAGTGTATGTATAAATGTATACAAGCACAAGAAAATATGAATATTATATCTATCCCTTAATTATTCTAAATTTATATAAATGTACTTATGTGCTTATAAATAACAAAATAAACGTATTTGAGGTATCGCTTTTAAAAAGTTAAATAGAAGTTATTTTATTCTGTAGCTATGGTGCGCCAGGTACACAACTGGTTACTGACATATTCAAAATTGATTGGAATACATATTTGGCCAGTAGAAAAAATATAATCGTTGCACAAATTGATGGTCGAGGTAGTGGAGGTCAAGGCTATCAATTTTTACACGAGGTTCATAATAGACTAGGCACAGTGGAAGTTGCTGATCAATTAGAAGTCACTGAGTAAGTCTTCCTGTTTACTGATTTGTCTCTATTTTAATTCATATATTTTGGTGTTCATAAACAAGCAATTACTTTATTTATAAATTAATTAATTATGTAATCTAAACGTTACCATTTGAAATTAAAATTTTTTGTTCTAACGTATTAATGTGTAAACTATATTTTTTTCGTCACTGTATTCGTTTCTCATACCTTTTATTTATGGCTAATTACCTACGATTAACTTATATTTATACTAATTCATAGCAGTTTGTTTTGTTAATAAAATAATTATAAAATACTCACTTTGTTTTATAAAATGTTATTCTATTTTATTACACTTCTAATAATTTTATTTATACACCTTTATTATTAAATTTCTTTATATATATATATAATTTATTTGATATTGTTAAACATAAATTCCTTAAACAAATTGAATAGAAATATATTAATTAATTATATTTGAAAAATAATATATAGAAAATATCAACTAAATTCATTATCATTCAAGTTTAACGCTTTCAATCGTTTATATATTTTATAAACAAACGAAATTTATTAAATACACAATTCATTTAAAAATAATAAATGAGACATAAGATTTTCTATTATAATAAATAGATACTTAAGAGACTCGCTGCATTTTGTGGATAAACGACGTGTAGCAATTTGGGGTTGGAGCTATGGTGGATTTGTTGCTGCTCATGCCCTCGCGCATCCTGATCAGAAGGTTTTTCATTGTGGAATCAGTGTAGCCCCAATTGTATCATGGAAACTTTATGGTATTTAATTTATTATACATCATGCATTGCATATATCTTATAAAAATTTTTTTTTAATCTAATTATTCTAAAAGATAATAAAAATATTTTGATTAATATAAACTTGATTTAATTTCTATAGAAAATTTTTGCTTGTATCTTAGAGATTTTCTAATAAGCACCATTTACATTAAATAGAATTCTTAACATTGTTGAATATATTCCTTAAAATAGGTGAACGTCAATATTTTATTTTGAATTATATTTAGCTAATATTTTGAATTATTATTTAGAATTTAATGCATGGTTTTTATCTTTTAAGATTTATAATAAAATTTATTTACCTATTTTATTTTATTTTTATTATTTTAAATCAATTAAATGTCACAACACTATTATTTCATTTAAGGAATAATCAATAAATTAAATGTTAAAAACATTTATATTTTAATACGGAATGTTATACATAAATAAAAAATTTCATTTTTATATATGTATGAGCAATTATAAATTTTCTTAAAATTTTATACAAATTAATTATGTAAGTTTTTTTCAGATTTGATACATTGAATATTGTATTTAAAAAATTTATAATTTATTCAAGTATATAATGAATTTTTTTTTAATAGATTCTGCTTATTCAGAAAGATACATGGGATCACCCAATGTTACATCCAATTATCAAGGTTATGCTGAAGCTGATATCTGTAATAAAGTAGAGCATTTAAGAAATAAAATGTTTTATTTGGTGCATGGTATTGCAGATGATAATGTTCAATTTCAACAATCTATGACTCTTGCATATCATCTTGCAAAAAAAGGCATTCTATTTCGACAACAGGTACTCTTTTCTTTTTAATATACTGTGTATATGTATATGTAAATCAAAAATACTTTTCATAGGAAAAATATAACTATAAATTCGAAAAAATAAGCAAAATATATTTTTATTTGTCTATAATTATTGAGAAATAAGTATATTAATGTATTCCATTGACAAGTACAAGAAGAAAAAAAAATTAAATAAAGTATATAATTGCTGACATAATTCTTTCTTTAATTTTATTTATTTTTACATTTGAGTAAATATATAAAGATATCATGAACTCTATATATATCAGATTTATTTTTAACTACTTGATAATCAGTTGAATAATTTTGTCTTTATTGTTATTTATGTTTATATTTGACTAAATAAATAAATATTTGCTGAAGAGCTCTATATGTATCAAATTATTTTTATCTACTTATAAGAAATTTCAATTAAATTAATAATATTTAAGTTATGAAATTTATATTTATATTAAAGTATCATTGAAAATATGTTTAATTGGTGTATATCCATTGCAAAAACATTTTATCTCAAGATATTACATACATAGCTTGAGAATACAACTCTGTGTCCATTAGCCACATATATGGGTACTACTATGAATATAATAATCTATACTCTCCTTCTACTGCCTTTACCGAATGGAGTTCCAACCAAACAGACTGTGTGGTCATGCAGGAGATTCTATAGTTTTCTCTAAGATGTTGCTCTTAATTTCCAACCATCTATTTCGTATTTTACACATTCCGTTTTAATCTTTTATTACTATCAACAATCTGTAGTAATATATTTTTACTTTCTTCATCATACAATATAGAATACAATATGTCGAAAAGTATTATGTAGCTAGTTTGTTTATATGAAAGCATCGATATATTTAAATTATTATTCAAAATATATCATATAGTATATTCAGCTTGAATGATTTAATCTATCTTTTATATTTGATAATTTAAATACATTTTCGACTATATTATAATTTAATGTATTACCTTCTTTCAATACCTCAAGCTGTTTTTTTAAATAAATTTTATTTTATTTTTATTCTTTATATTTAATGTGTAATTCATTTATTTTCTATATTTAATTCCTTTCATCATCGCATCGTGTCAAAAAAGCCATTCATAAATTTTAAAGATTGAAAAAATTCAAGGTTTGCGGGTTTTATATGTGTGGTGAATAATTAAATAAAATGTATCATATACTACTTAAGTAATAAATTGATCCGAATGACACGTTAATTAATTCATAAATTTTATAATGATAATAAAAGCATTATATACATACATATATATATATATATATATATATATATAATATATAATATATATATATATATAGACATAACGATTCTAAGTATCAGAAATTGTGTGAAAACAAACCGAAATTATAGGTCAATTCGAAAGTGCTATGCACCTTGATTGATTTTTAATTAATTCTGAATTTTCCTCTAATTTTGGTTTGTTTCCACATAATTTTTAATACTTATGTATATACTTCATCAATCAAGAATTTTAGAAATTATCTAAAATCAAAATTAGATGCTCATTAATTCGTTAAACATTATTTTTTGTACTATGATTCTGAATCTTGATTTTTTATATTTATAAATGAAAACAACATACTATTTATTAAAAATCATTCGAATTTATTAAAGATAATTGAATTTTCAATAATTATTTTGATTTAGTCTTGTGTATAACTCTATAGTTTATTTTAAATTGCAATTAATTTTGATTGGAGTCAAGATGTCCAGGGCATATATGTAGTTATTGAATGTGCTATTGAATTTAGAGTATTCTAGACTATTACCTTCCGTCATTTAATATGTATTTTTGTATTATACTTATGCTGTATACACTGTTACAATTTTAGTAATTTTTTGAAAAAACAGGTCCGAATTTTTTTAATTAAATAAATTTTACGAATAAATTTTATTTTTTCCATGCTTCGAAACGCCTTGTGGTTGTTTATAATGATAAAACACTTGGTTGTATTTCAGATTTGTAATTTTACTATAAGAAACTCACGGTTATTGAATATTATCTTGTAATGATTATTTTCCAGTTATTGCGTTACTCAAGAAAATTTAATAGTACCTAGGCAAGTTACGGTGGAAGTTCCATAATCTAGATTTTATCCACTCTATAATCTACTGATTTTATTTTTAATTTATGTACTTCATCTTATCTTATTGCTCAATGATCTAGTATTTACATTTGATTTATGATACGCCATATTTTATCCATAGATCGGATGAAACTCACTACACAGGTATGAATGGAAATTACTTAATGGTAAAGTAGCATATTAAGTACGACAGCGCGAAAGATAATACATCAATTACGCTGATAACATCATTTAGTTGTTGCTCCATTTATAATATACTAATAACCATAGTATTTCGAAGTATCGTTATCATTATCATTATCGAAAAATATGATGCATCAGCATTCGTTTTAAACATGTTCCCAATACAGAATTGGATTTTAAGAATATTTAAGTATATTATATCAAAGAAAGATAGACTCTTATCATTATTTCATAATTATTGTGCATGGAATACGAGTTTGCCACATTCTAAGTTTCCATATTGGATACCACGTGTTTTTTGTAAAACATTGCTATTTATAGCTACAACGGCTTAATCATCATTCATGATTATAATTTTAATGTTGTAGATTTAAATAATATATTATAAAAAGTTGATAATGTTATCTATTGATTGGTATTGAAATATACCTTCACGATTTTCAAATTTTTAATTTTGATTGGTATATATTCTAACACTTTAAATGAAATCTCCTTAAATATAATTCTATTTCAATGGAAAAACCCAATGTTTCTGATATAATTTGATACAACCTATTAAATAAACTTTATATATTTTTGTATATCTATTCTAAATATTATATTTTAATTAAGAAATCGCCCCTATAAAATTTATAAATTTTGTTTATTTTCATACGATTATTCTCACAGTCATATATATATATATATATATATATATATATAAGAGAAGTATTTATCATTATGTTCATACAAAAAAATTAGTAAAAATTATAGATTATTTGTTTGAATTAATTTAAAACAACTTATTTTAAAAGATTTTCATACAAATTGTAAAATCTTAAAATATATAATTTTTTTCAAAAAACTATGTAATATTTTATGAGACATATTATAAAATATTAAATTAAGTATTTATAATAATCTAAGCAATATTGAAATGTTTAATTTCAAATAATTAATATTAGATATATTTCATTTAATATTATTGATATGATTTATTCTTATCAAAAGTTTTATGAAACTTGTATCACATTTTAATATACAGCGGAGTATAAAATCATATTACTTATTTTAAATATTTTTTTCATGAAATATTCTATGTTAGTAGTCAGTACTTACTAGCCGTTTCTTATTCTTATACTTCAGTCTAATACAATAATTTAACTCCTACTAATGGCAATCTGCTTTCTTATTTTACATAATCAGTACTAAAGATAATATTACCACTAATTAAAATCTTTCAATAAAATAGGTATGATATAGACATTAAAATATTTTATTATTATAATTTCACAAAATAAATTATTCCACAAAAATTAAAAATCTATATTATATAAAAAAATAGTTATATATACATAATCTATTTTCTATATCTATAGTTATATAAACTAATGTTTAATATTATTATATTTACTTATGAAAAATTAAAATAAAATATTTAATTTATTGACAATATTTTTGCTGTTATTAATTATTTAAAAAAATATTGACATATATATGTAACAATGATATTTTTACAGGTGTATCCTGATGTTGGTCATAGTTTAGCTGGAGTGAAGGAACATTTATACTTATCAATGGCACAATTTTTAGACGATTGTTTTTCAAAACAAATACCAATCGATTCAAAGGCTGGTTTAAGTAATGGGGGGTCTGGGAGTCAATAAAAATAATGTGATAAATATTATATAATTTTAAGTAGAATAGTAAAAAAATACTAAACATGAAAAATGAAAGTTAAATAACTAAAACTATGCTTTATTTAGTAAATTATATTTATTTTTGTCAAGCTTCTTTTACATTCATTTATGATGAATCATAATTCAAATAAAAAAAGTTTATTGTACTGCATTTAATAAATCATAAAATATTGAGCTTCAGTTTTATAATACAATTAATAGAATTATTATACAAACAATTTTAAATATTCTTCTATAATGCATTATAATATAACATTATAAATCTTTACATTGATATAAGAAGCTTTTGTAATTGGAACTAAAATAATCAACTATAATTGTGATTTTAACACTCGTAATGATAATGAAGTTAGATATATAGGTATATTTATGCATGTTCTGTTAGTTATATATATATACATACATACAGATTTGTGCGTGATACGCGCACGCGCATGTGCGTACCTAATAAAAGAAAAATAAAAAAATTATGAACAGATTCAAAATTAATAAAAAGATAAGTCTGTAAATCGATTAAGCATTCTGATTCGATTTAATTTAGTTTTTTATTGGAGCAATGACCAAGATGCAAGAGCAAGTGATTCTTAAGATTAGTAGTTTTACTAAAACCACGACTGCAAACGTTGCACCTGAATGGCCAAAGTCCATTATGGACGTACATATGACTCTTGAGATCACCAGGAGTTGGGAACGACTTTGAACATTGAGAGCACTTATGTGGTTTCTCCTAAAAGCAATAAATTCAAGCATTGTAAAATGTATATAGGCAGAAGTGATTACGCGTTTGTGTGTGCGCACGTGCTAAAAATTGACATTATGATTATCTTGTACAAACTAATTATTCATATTTATGAATATATACATAAAACAGTTTTTCACTATTTAAACTATGAATTTAATATTCAATTTTGTATTTAATAAAAGTATAACACAACAAATAAAAAATGTAATTAAACAAAGTTTAATTTTAAAACAAAAAAGTTGAACTCAATCATTATACTTTTTAATATGATTTCACTTTAAAATTTTTGAAAACTTGCGATATAAGTAGAATTTTTTTAAATAAATTAACTTTGAATAATTATTTTCTTTACAATATTAATATTAAATATTACAGATTTATTTTATTTATTTAATACATTTAATTTAAATATCAAGTACTTATTTTATTAAATCAATAAGATGTGAAAAAATTATAAAATATTTTTATAACTATGTTGAGTTTATTTAGAATGATTTTAATGATTCCTGTCAGTTTAAAAAAATTATTTTTATTAATTTTATTCTGAATAACAAGCAACCCTGATATTATTTAATTATTAAATGTTTATACTAAAACCACTTGTATAAATAAATTAAGTAATGTATACAATATTATAAGAGTCAATACTCTGATTAATACTGACCGACATATTTATTTCTCAGTAACAAAGGTACGACATGTAATAATAGTCCGGTCATTCTGCATGTATAAGCTTTTAGTTTCACTCGGCATCAAATATTATTCGTACAATTTTCTAGTAAAAAAATATAAATTCATTGAGTTTTATTTTATGTTTATTAGAAGAGGCGATTGAAATCTTTTAATTTTACTATTTGATACATGTAACTTATAAAATCAAGTCGTGTTATCAAAATATGTATTAAATGTGTTAGTATTTTTTACAACTAATTAATATTTCCTATCGATTGGATTTTATTTCGATGCAGTTACTTAAGTATTTCAATTATTGCATCTAGCAGTCGTGGTTCGCATAGTGTCTACTTATTTTAGTTCGCAAATTGTATTAAATAGATAAGTCGTGCAACTTTAAAAAACCTGTTATTTTTACAAGTAACTATTTCACTCTGTACTGTTTAAATAAAGGGATACACATATCCTTTTTAGTAGGTTCGATAAAAATATTTATGACTATTTTCATTTATCGAGACTTATACATTAGCGAGATTTGTTCACTAATAATGGACTCAATGAATAGTTTTTGACTAATTGTAGTGTATATTATATTAACTTCTTAAAAGAAAAAGTTCTAAATTATTTATAAAAATTCTTTGTGCTTTAAGTATCTAATAGTTCAAGGGCTTTTTAATATAGTTCGTGTTATGTTTAAAAAATAAATCAGCGAGTAAGAAGCCGTCAACGTGCATGAAAATAATTACCGTATATGGCACTTTTAAAAATTCTATAATAGCAAAGAATTTAATAAAAATCCGTGAATTCGTATGTAATGATGTATATACCATCGTTGTACATACATACATACATATATATATATATATATATATATATATATATATATATATATATGTATGTATATAAATATAAAATCATTAATTACATAAGCTATATAAAGCCTTGTGTGACGACTAAATTATTAATCAACTTCATAAGTCTTGTAACCCCTTTAATGGCAGTGAACAAACTAATTCAGGTCATATCAAATAATAAACTACCTCCACGTTAAGAATCACGAGAACACTTTAATCGAACAATGGGCGATGATAACAGATTGTATCAACTTTGGAGGTACGAAGATGCAAGGGAGAAGAAGCTTGTATTTCTAACTACTATTTTATGATTTATTATGATTTTAACATTGAATATTAAACAAAAAAGATTACTAATTTTTATTGTAAACTGATGATTACCTATACTGCTTAATGATTTTGATACCATTCTTAACTTTCCTTTCTATACAAATATGTTTGAAATAAATGAACTATAAGTTCCTAAAATTGTGTTTCAACATTGAAAATTAAAAATTTCTTTAATATATCAAATATATTAGTATTTATTGTGCGTGAATAATATTTTTATAATATTTTTATAATTTTATTGTGTGTGATTAACTAACATCTTTATAACATTCTTATGGTTTTATTGTGTATGAATTTATAACAATTTAATATAATTCAAAATGTTATTGAATACCGCTCCTTAGAGTTCTTTAATTGGATCTTTATTTGTGAAATGAAACTTTAAATTAGAGAGTAGTCTAGCTAGAGAGCCTTTTAATTAAGCTCAACAAGTAATTCGATTTAATTTGTATTAATTTAAATTTAAAAATGGAATTAATATTAAATTTAAATAGTATCTGAAAACTTGATTGTTATATCTGAAAATATCTGAAGTACTAGACATGTTATGCATATCTGAGAAATAATTAATAGTATGGTTTCTAAATATAAGATAAACATGTGGTGACAAAAATAATACTCGTATTAAATATTATTAAAATATTGATTTTGTAAACATATTTTAACATGAACGTTTGATATCTCTCGTCCAAATTTTATTTTTTTGAGATATTAACATGTAAACTATTACTGTACATGTAAACTATTAACATATAGATAACATATTAGGCTTTTCTACTTCCTTAAAAAGAGACACTTTTGTAAAGTTAAAGCCCAACATTATTTTCTACTCTTCTGAAATTGTATTCTTAATAAATTTAATGATTCTAATCTTCAACATATTTATAGTGGGTAACTTCCTCATTTAAAATTTTTGCATTATTTCATGTTATTCAATCATTATATTTTCTCATTCCTATAGAAACTTGTAAAGAAAAATATACTTAAAGAGTCATATAAATATTGGTTGTCCCATACAGTATAAATAAATTATTCAGTTTTCAAATTTCATTAATTATATCTATTACATTACATTACTAAAATCCAATTATGTATTAGAATTTTAGATAAAAAATTGTGACATTTTAAATTTGAAATCACAAACACTTGCTTGAAAATAATTCTAGAATAATTTAAAAGGATAAAAAGTATAAATAACGAAGTAGTTTCTAATAAAGTAAAATAATAGTTTTAATTCACATTATACTAGCTCTTCAAAATCAATAGAATTATTAGCATTTAGTTCAATTATGAATAAAATAATAAAAAATTGAACAAATAAATTATTAATTATGCTAGTAATTACTTTTGCATCGTAGCTCAACAAACTATTATTAGAGTAAATACAAAGATTAAATAGCAGCATTTAATTTTTTTCAATTCGATAATTAGTGACTCCAAAAAGGTGTGATACAAAAATATAATTTAAATATTTTAAACTTTATAGTATACACTAATCATATTGATTAATTACATTAAAATTAATAATAGTACTAAAAATTAAAAAGCCATAAACACAATCAAAAGTAAGAAATCATTTAGAAATCAAAAATCCAAACATTTATGTGACAAATATAATAATAAACTAAAAATTATTGAAAAATTACTTTAAAGGGTTTATTTTTTAAATTATTGCTGTTATCCAATGAAACTGATGTTTATAACTTTAATAAAAATATTAATAATAATAAAATAATAACAAAATTAAAAGAATAACAATTATAGTTTAAATTATAATATTACTACAAAACATACAATAAAAATAAGGTATAAAATAAATTATTATTAATATAAACGAAAATATTACTCCTAATAATAAGTGAATATTATTAAAACATAATATTTCTGACATGCATTTTATTTAATTAAAATAAATAGAAAATATAATATATAAATTTATTAATATAGATGTAAATATAAATTAATTAAATATTTTAGATCATAATATTATAAAAACAATAATAACAAATTTAAATTATAATACATATTAAACATGGAATATAAGCAATATATCACTTTAAATACTGTACAACATACAATATGTTACAAGAAAATAAAAATACATTCAAAATAGAATAATATAAATAAATATAAAATTTAAATATATATATATATCATAAATTTAAATATATATAAATGATTTACATATAGATAGAGAAACTAAATACAGCTAATATTTTTCATAAAAGACCGTTATATTTATTGGATTTCTATTAGTATATTTTTTAATCTTAAATGTAAAAAAAAATAAATAAATCTTAATATTATTTTAATTATTAATATTCATAAATTTGTTTTATTTAAAAATGTTAATGCAATATTGTATGAAAAAGTTATAGAAATGGGAGTGAGATGAGAATGATAAAAACGAAAATTACTTTTGTTCTATTAAAAAATTTTTTAATATATTTTATTAAAATTATAATTATCATTATCATTATTAAAATCTTGTATTTACATTATTTGAAATTGAAGATAACATTTGTTATAATCTTTTTATTTATTCGAATTTGTAATACTAATTTGAATATAATTAAAGGATACAGATATTCATAATATTTTTATATTAACCAATACAATTTTTATATTGATGAAAACTTACTATTTAAATAATTTATTTTGAATTTTCTTCTCAATGAAATAAAATTTCTTTGCTATTATTAAATTCATATAGTTTATGTATCCATTTATTATAACCCAAGTAGATATTCAACAAATAATATCATGTGATTAATTTAGTTTTGTTTTATCATTCATTTATTTAATGAAGAATAACCAATTTCTTCAGTATTTATATTTTTTAGTTTTCACTTCCTCTAATAAAAACTGTTTCTTCGCCATACACTTATGTAATTTTATATATTTTTAATCACATTTTTAAAAAATTGATCATCAGTTTTAAGATTTATTAAGTAGTAAATTGAAATAAATTATTTATGCCTTGCATCTCTTTAACATGATTTTTGTTATTATTGAATTAATTTAAATAGAACAAATATTAGCTTTGCAACTTTCATTATAGTTTAATAGCTTTTTTATTTTTAACAAAGATTCTTGAAAGAAATATTATATTTAATGAGAGTATCTAATTAAATGATTAAAAGATGCTTGAATATTATATAGAGTTAAAATTGAATTGAAATTTTTAATTTGTTGAATTATTTATAGTGTAGTGGGTTAAAGAATTTAATTTTAAATTCAAATTATTTTAAATATAGAAAATATAAAATATTAGATAAAATATAGAAAAAGTGGAGAAAGTGTAAAATAAAATGACTATTAATTAGCTTTTAAGAGATATATTTGATCTGATATATAAAGAAAAAGATTTTGGTTTAAATGTTGTATTTAATTTAAAACATTCATAGTTTGAAAATATACATATTAAACGTATATCCTATATTCTATATCCAATTACATATATTAAAAATTTTTTTTAAATATATAAAACAGATAATAAAAAACAATTTATATTTAATATTAATTATTTAAATTAATATTTAAATACATTATATTATTATCGTATAAAATAATGATAATAAACTTGATTATATTATCTACATTATATCCTAGTAGCAGTTTAAACTGTTCTGTTTTAGTAATATGACAATTTAAATATATGTAAACATAAAATTTAACTTATAAAATTAAAATTATTTTTATAGATCCAATATCGGTGAATACTTTTATTATATGTAAGGAATTATTTGTTTATTTGAAAAACGTTTCTACAGTAATCTAAATATATGAAATCACTGTTACTCGACTGAACAATAAATTATAAATGTATTTTATGTAAATTATTATGTATAATATGAATGTTACTGTTACTTATAAATATATATCAGTTATATATTTATATTAAATATCAGTTATATTATGATGTGGATATTAAAATCTAGCGCAACTCTTGCAACAATAATTACAATTACTTCAGCACTATTCGTTTTGTATGTTAAGCCAATAAATAAGTAGACTAGTCGATAAGGTGCAGAGAAAGAAATAAACCAATATATGTAAGTCTTACCATTGTAAACATTGACAAATAAAATATACATATAATAATAGGATCATAACCATGATTGTGGCTTGTTTAAAGAAATTTCGTAAGGTTCCTAAGTTCATAATTCTATAACATTTGATGAATATATTATATTTATTAAATTTATTATATTACACATGTACAATATAATATTAGTTTACAACTTTTAGTCTACTATCTCATATTCCAAAGGAATGATCCTACATGGAGAAGCATCCTGAATAGAATCCTCTAAAGATGGATCATTTATAGAGGAGTACGCAAGTATCCAATTACATGAATAACTCAAACAAACCTATGTGCTATTGTTTGAAAATATAGAAGATAGTTATTAGTAAGGGGTAGAAAATTTTAACTGCATACGAACTATCAAGCTAAATATTTATTAGAAAATTAAACAGAAAATGACATATGGTAATGGAAAATCAACCCATGACGACAAACGAAATATTAAGGAACGGATATGTTTGAGTATCATAAGCTTTAAAAACCAAGATATTTACAGAAAAAGCAAAAAGTAACATAGCTTATAGGTATAAATTCTAATGTCTATTGTAAGAAACAATAATAGATATCTTATATCAATACAAGGTCTAGAAGACAATTAGTCAATAGAGATCTTGACATATGAAACATCTACAGGTCGAACAGGTGCGCAACTCAAAATTCTTTTAGCAAAGCAAGGAATCGGCATCTTCATACAAAATATACTTATCTTGAACTATTTATTTATATTTGCATGTATACACAGACACACACACACACACATATATATATATATATATATAGATATATATATATATATTTAAAAAATTTATTACAAAAATTAATAGACTTCTTTATATTATTTTTACCAACAAAGAGGATTAGAAAGTTAGAAATAGAAAAATTATATAATTCTAAAAAAATAAAATTAAAAGATATAAATTACAAATGCAAAACTAACCGATTTTAATGTTAATTCCAAAATATTCCTGCTAAAATGTATTTCGGAATTATTTATTAAATATGAGGATTTTATCGACGAAATTGTTATTACAACTAATACAGATGTATTGTATATTTTGTGTTTGTGCCTGCGCGTGATGGTAATAACCAAATTTTTATTGAATAAAAAGGATGATATGAAAATACTTTTTTACAGAGTAAGAAAATTATATAATAATGAAAAAATACTATATTAAAAATATTTCAAATATCTATAAATAGATGTTTTCTTTATCTATTTTTGATATCACATTATACTAATAATAAGTTTTAAAAAGGCAAAATGATATAACGAACAAAAAATTATAATTATATATCTATTATTATTTGTATATGTATTTATATGCATGCTTATAAATCTATTGTATTAATTTTATAAATTATTTCATTGTATATTATCTATCATTTGATTTGATGATTTCTAATTTATAATCTATCCTATCAAGATGAATAAATGTAAAAATATTAATCTCATACAATTTTGTGTTTATAAGTTTAAAACTACTGAAATAAAAGAAAGATATAAACCTATTGAGAAGAGAAAATTTTTAACAATCTCTGATACTCTGATATATTAAATCTATCTTTGTTTTGACAACAAAATTTATTGTCAAATATATTGTCAAACACAAACTCTACTAGTAGCGCTACATAATACATAAGTATTAGTACAAAGAATGGATGAATCTTCCTTATTTTCATCAATTTATAGACATATTTCTACAGTGACAATATTAAATTAAATCGAAAAATTCTAATTATGTTGTAGTTTACAAATCTTTTGTAAAAACTGAGAGAATTAACAACTGGAAATTTTATTACCGTAATATTTTTAACCTAAAATTATCTGCTAAGTTTCAAAAATTTGGATGAAAAATTAAATTTTACTATTTTAATCATTCATACTCATATTATGTAAGCTGTATATGTTAACAGTTTTAAATTGCTTCTTCCCACACTGTTTAGTTAACATTAATAAATTAATAATTTATTACTTTGTGCTTGATTGTTGTAATTCAAATGTCATAAAAATAGATACAATAATATTGATATGAAATTTAAAAGACATTGCAAATTGTGCAATTCAGTTTATTATTGTATTTTTATGAATATACCGAAAAATATTTTAACAGTGTTATTAAAAGATGCTGCTAATGGTACGTAAAGAGATAAAATAATATACTAATGAAAAAACATTATATATATATAATATAAATTTAAATTACTGAAAATAGTATAATAATTATCAAATCTCAACTATGTACCAATAAGAGTGGCGTTAATGTGGAGAAATAATAGTGATAGCAAAGTTGACGAAGCTTAAAAAATTCAAACCAGTTAAAAAGTTCTATCTCACTAGAGTATAGGAATAGAAGTTAAGTGAGCCAGAACTTTGATAACTTAATTACTAAATTATAATAAATATGAAAATATAAGTACAATAATCATGATGATGAAAATGCAAATGATAATTATGATAGTAACAAAGCCAACAATAATATCAATCCGATATTATATTTGAAGAATCAACAATAATACTAAAATTTTATTATATTGGTGTATTAATTTATAATAAAAAGGAATATAATTATATAAATAATTTTATATATTAGTTTCGTTATCAATTTTCTATTGAACAAGAATTTAAATAATCAATTTATTCTATCGTTATTTTTTTTCTTTTGATGTTTGTTAAAAAATATAATCATTAATTGATGTCAATATGTAACAAGTGAGGTTATTAAAAATGTATTATTTGGAATCTATAAAATAAATTTTAAAGAATTTCATCAATTTAATTTTTCTATTTTTATTATTTATTAAATTCAATAGAATTCAATAAAAATGTAAATTATCTTTTTATATTAACCTTGATATGCGTCATGCGATGATAATAAAGATTGGAAGAGGCAGTGAACTTTTTACCACAAACAACACATTGATGAGGTTTTTCACCACTATGTATACGTTTATGTGTATTTAATGAGCTAGAGGTTGAAAAGCCTTTGTTGCAAACAATACATATATGTGGTTTTTCCCCTGTAATTAAATAAAAACATAAAATTGTTATAAGTAATCTTTTTATTAATACAATATCTAAGCTTTGCCTATAATTGTATTGTATCTAATATGTGTCTAAAAAATTAATGTATTGTTTTATAATCGTACGAACAGATATAAATTCAGTTTGCTATTAATTATAAGTCTATTTTAATCTCATTTAAATTTTTTACTAAAAATTAAACTTTTTATTTTAAAAAATTTTAATTATAACTTGAAATTAACAACAGTATTCTATTTATACTTGTTGTTCGATTTTAAGGATTTATTTTATGGTTCGAACTGCCAATTCAATAGTTCAGTGAATTAGTCTCTCATCATGATAACTTAAAAGGAAATAATAAGTGGAAGGGCTGAAAAATAGTATGTATTTTAGTAAAACAATGTTTATTATTTGTTAATTATTATAATAATATTGTACTCTTGTTGAGATAGAAGATTATTATATCGTAGATTCAATGGATATTACTGTGTATCTTGAAAGTTAAGGTTATACTATACGGAAAAACATTAGCCTGTGTAGTCAATCATGCTCATGAGGTAGCATGAAAAGATGGTATTGATACCAAGTATGCTTGGTAGAAGGAATGACTATACTTGATAGAGTGTAAGATGTTTTGATAGAAATTGGTGCGTAATCAATTATGGTTTTAATTATGATGGGAACAGTAAAAAGGACTAGTCACACGCACGAGTCATGAATAACAAGCCTTCGAGCTTTGAAAGACTTGAAGATGTATTTATAGTCGATTATTCGATAAATTTTTGTCTGGCCTTGACAACGTAATTGACGTATTACGTTACCTGTGTCGACTGTTTGAGGGGCTGTACAGTGTTCGAAGTGTTAGTTCGAGAGAACGTACTGTTTTCGCGTGTGTGACTGCTTAATTGATAATATAAAGAGATGTACCTTGTAAACTGTGAACAAGGTGTGTTGATTTATTGCGTAGCTGATGTGCCCCCTTTGATTACGATTCCAATAGGCTTGACTGTAAATCACTACCTAATCTTGTTGATTTCTTTTTGATCATCCACGTGTAATTTTAAATTGGTTACCGTATATACGGCCACGTGTCGTCATCATAATATATTAAAACACTGAGTGATGATAATAACACTTGAATGAATACGTCGTACAATTACAATGAGCGTCGTCGCATAGCAAGCTGCCCTTAAATATCACGCAACAGGATGTAACGCCGGCAACAGTGCCGCCGTTTATTGCTTTGCCGAAAACTTCTTTGTGGCGTTAGAAACCGAAGCTTCTAGAAGTTTCATAGGCGTTCCATTGTGTGATCTTATAGTATATTGGATTTCATCTCGTAAAACTTGCTCGGACTTGTCGAGTTGTGTTTATAAACAATCGCCCGAGCGCGCGTGTCCATCTTCGTCTTAAATTCGTGGAAACTGCGTCAATCCCGAACACTTGTTATTTGTAAGAAATTGGGTTTTTTGTTAAAGTAACTAGACATAATTTTTGCGAATAATTAAATTATATTAATACTTAATTTTTACTGTATACCTTTTTATTATATATAATATAAAATGTAATATAATGTACAATATACCATAAATTTGAAGTTTTATTCTAAGAAAATGAAATTTTATTTAAAAACAATAAAATGATTATTATATTATTGAAGAGTGTTATGTGTAATTAAAATGTATCTAAAATTGTCATAGTATACACCAATCTATTTTGTATCCATATAATACGAGAAATAATTAACAAATGATAAAGTTCAAAAAAGAAATTAATATAGATAAAGTATAGATATAGAATATATAAAATAAAATATTAAGAGTGGAGAAATATTAACGTAAAAAATTAAAATTATCTTTGATTTCTTCAAACAATTTTGTATTATTTATGAGCATTTATAAAGTATCAAAATCAAAAAGAAATTTAAGTAGCTAATTAAAAATAATTATATAATTAAATAAACCGTAGGTTATCTCATCAATTTTATTTAAATTATTAAACATTTAGAATTGTATGTACAAAAACTAATACATTCTATTCGATGACTTTTTTAATTATAAAAGAGATTTAATCACTATAAAACAACTATAATAAAACAGTTAACTGGTATTATTAAATTGTTTAATAATATAATTTTATAAAAAATTAAATTAGTTTATAATTGTTTTGCATACTTAATTAGTTGTATGTATGCTAAACTTTTATTTAACATCACAATGAATAGGTTGATTTTATAACGTCATAATCATCAATTACTATTGCAAATATACATAGATATTAATTCTTGTACTAATAATATGTACTAACTGATTACGAGTACGATACAAAGTAAGTTAAATAAAATATATTTTGTATGTAAAATGAGAAAAATATATATTAACATACATGAAATTTATATACTTATAATACAAATGAATAAAATAAATGAAATGTCATAAATACCCGTATGGGTTCGCATATGTCGCTTGAGAAGTGACGGTCGGTCGAATGATTTTCCACATACTTTGCAAGGTAACAATACTCGTTCACCCTTTTTTATTGACGTTAAAATGCTTCTATGTATAGAATCACTTGATAATGATAATCCTGACGAAAACGATTCTTCTGACGTCGATTCATACTCATCGAGCTTACAATAAGAGTTGCACTGGATCAATGATCCAAATGCTCTCGAATTCTGAGAAAGCAATGTCATTGATAAGTCTAATGGCGAATCTACAACGTAATAACAATAATTAAAACAATTCTTCTATTTATATGTGTATTTATTGAATATGAATTGAATATGAATATTGAATAATATGAAAGATTATTGAAAATCAAATCAAACTTTTAAAAATTAGACTCCAAATTTTAATAATTTTTATTTATATAAAGAATTGTTAACGTTTAAGTTATATATATATATATATACATATAATTTTCCTTTAATTAAAATTTCACTCAATGTAATTGTAATACAAATAATTTTTATTATATGTTTCTATTATTTCGAATTTAATCAAATTTCAATAAAAATATTTCAAAAATATTTCGGTTTTTATTACATTCTTTCTTTTTTTTTAGAAATAATTTCTTATGATAAAGACGAAATAATGTTAAAATTTTAAATTTGTTCGATAAAATAATATAAACCAGTGGATTAAAGATACATCTGGTTTTTAATCAGTAGTACAAATTTTTAATAAAATTTTAGTTGTTTGAATACTAGTTTTTTAATTAAAATTTAATCCATTTTTAATTTGTTTTATAACATTATTGATAATTATTTCTGGAGTATAGTCTTACGATATTCCAGATCTTATAGTCTTACTTATATTTCTACTTATATTTTCATATACTTGCTTATTCGTATCTATTTACTATTCAATTAAGTTATTTCATAAATTTTAAATTAAATATATTTTATAAAATTATATTTAAAATTATAAAACGGTTATAGTCTTATATCACTCTTGTTTGCGACCATTAGCGTACAAACTTTCAATTCTTTATAATTGTAATTTCTAAATTAAATAAGAATCCCTTGTATTCCATTTATCATTTATAATTATATAAGCATAGCTATAAAGTTCGACTTATTAGATTGCCTACAGACGTATAAATGACTTTCATAATACCAGCCGTATTTGATTTAACAGCATATCTAATTTCGCATACTTTTCACATATAAAATAATTTTTTTATATTGAATTAAAAAGAAAACAGAAAATATTTATTGACTTTTATTTTTTTGTTTTTTTCCCATATTTTTTCACCCTTATTTTTACGTATACCACAGTTATAAGTGAGTAACTGAATTAATGAATTTAGAAATTGACTGAATTAATTTTTTAAATCATATTTAAAAAAAATCTTTTATCTTTAACAGTTTTAGAAACTAAGTAATTTATATTATTTAAAATTTCATATCTGATTTAGCAAAATGTCTAGTTCATACAGATTTATTTCATATCTAGCTGGTTCATATTTAATTAAAATGTGATTCCATGGGTTTTATTCAATTTTGTTATTTTAATTAAAATATCAAATATGATTTTATTTATCTTTATATTTTATATTTAATTATATTTATTTTAAAATTTTTATAGAGCGTAGCTCGTAACAAATGAAGTTCACTTTAATATAAAATTGATTGAAGCTAAATTCTGCTTATAGAAAGGAATATAATCTTAATAAATGGATATATAAAGAATTATAATGAGAATAAATAATAAAGTACATAGCAAAAATAAAAGAATATAGATAAGCATGTATAATGAACGCAACAATGGAAAATTATTGCATTAAAATTGCTAATTTTTTAAATTAAGTAAACACAGTTTGAATTTGATGAAAGAAAACAATTTTTTAATTAATATAAATATATTCATAAATAGAAAATTTAGTCAAATGTAAATTGGTATTGATAAATGGTGTATAATTTAAGAAATTTCCAAAAAGAACTGTGACGTTTGAAACATATTATATAAATAATTTCCGAAAGACTATAGTTATAAATCTGATATAAAATTATGAGAATTTAATATTTTTAATATCAAACTGAACAAAACATTCTACGAAATAAATAAGACAATTTTTGTCAAAATCTGACAAGTAAAAATTATTTATGAAATGATTTATTTATTCGATATAAATTTATTATTTTTATGCCTCTTTTTCCATTATATAAATTTAAAATAAGTGATAAAATAAATAAAAACCAAATAAATAATAGTAAATAATAAAAAATAAATAATAACCAAAAATGAAATTACAAAAGGTATGGAAATAAAATAAAGTCAACCAATTAAAAAAAAATAGCTTAATAATGATAACTTTATAATAGTAACAATTATTGTAGTATAATATAGATAAACTCTGCAGTTCATTAATATATAAATATCATAAATAAAGAAAATATTTCTAATAATATATATGTTGTATTTATGTGCGTGTATACGCATGGATGTGAGTGAATGTATACCAAAATAAAAGTATTTTGTAAAAAGCGTTTGTTTATGCATGTAAAAAAAAGATGGATTGTAAAAAAGAAGATTATTAAATGCAAATTGTAAAAAATTAATTAGTCTTTTGAGTAAAGTGTGTACTAATTAAAAAAATGATGTCATCACTTACAATTCCTAATTTACCATCCCTCCTATTTTCAAATCCTTTATGACGCGAAGAAAAATTATTAATCTAAAATGCTTAAAGCATAGTGAACACCATGTAAACACAAAGTCGTGGTTATTGTCTTACGGCTACAGAGCTTTTACTTTTCCTTCCAGGCGACTTGTAGGTGCATTAATCGCAATAGCGAAGCATTTCATCATTGTACATATTGTATTTGCTAAAATAATTAGAAATAAGAAGTTTGTACATAAATACTCGACCAGAAAAACACAAAAGAAAATAATTAAATTGAAATTTCAATATTGTGCCAATTTTGTTCTTTGAACTAAGAATATAGTATAAGATTTATATACTTTCAATGAACTTTAATTAATATGTTAATTTTTATTTCAACATTTGTAGAAATTAAAATTTGTTAATTATAATTAAAAATAATTGTAAATTTAAATATAATTTCATTGATTAATTTAATAGGTTTTGTTTCTTGTAGTGTAAAATATTTCTAAAATTTTCTTACTTTTTTAATAAATAAAATTCTAATACAATAAACTCAAGATTTCATCTCAACCTTTATAAATTGAGAAACTAGCACAACCATAAAAAATAAAAATATATAAGTATGATATTCTATATTTAAGAAGATGGAAATACAATAGTGTGCAGAGTCATTAGTAGAGCAAGCTGATATTCAAATAAGAATACTACTTAAAATCATATTTTTAAATTTGTAATAGCAACTAATTTCAAATAAAAATAAAGGAGAAGAAATTTCATATATTATGTTAAAATTATTATAAATGTATGATAGGATTTTTCTTGGGTCTCATAATTCTGCAATAAACATCGATTTAAATATAATATTTAAACTTATTCGGAAATTATATAATATAGAATTAAATAGTAAATATAGAATTATTGATTTGAATGATATGTACGGAAAACTATAGCTAAAAAGATCTCTTAAATACTCTGTTTATTTAAAGTAAGTTAATTGAATCTTAAAATAAAAATTTTCATTTATTTTTAAAAATAAATTTTAATTTTTTTAGTTTTTTGATGATAATCAATATATTTTTTTTTTTGAAAATACATAATTTTACTTATGTTAAATTTTTATAATATTTAATATTAAAATTATGGATTATTAATACTAAGGAATGCATTTTCAAATCTAATTCGTACTTTTAAATATTAATTTTATACTTACCATCTAAAATAGAATCTATTGTACATCGATACATCGCAGATCTTGAACAGATTTCGGTGGATATAAAAACAAAATTTTCTTCGTGAGTAGGAAGAAACCACGCCACAAGTTCTGCATTACGTTGAACGTTTTTTACAACTTCAAATATAGGTTCACCTATAAATATAAAAAAAATTATTGTAGATGACATAAAATTAAAAAAATATAAATATATTATAGCAATTTATCAATAAAAAACATTTTAAATTCATGATTAAGTTTATGAATTAATATAAATAGTGTTTTTTTTATTGTAGAACAATAATTCATAATTTACAGCACATTTTTATAGGATTCAATTTCATTATTGTTTTATATATCTATAATTTTATATATTTGTATAAAATTGTTCCTATTTATTCTAGATATATATCATAACTATTATTAATTTTAAAAAATAATTACTATAAGCATGTGTATTAAATAATGTAAAAAGTTATTAAAATAGGAATTTTTTAAAAGTATATTTTTCATAATACAAAATTTACTGTGAATTTAAAAAATATATCGATTCATTATCTAAATTTACTTATTTTACTTAATCGAAAAAAAACTTAAATAAAATTATTGTTATATTTATTATATAGATTGAGATACCAATCAATTTTTTATCTATCTATTTATATGAATATGATTTTTTTAAATAATAAATAAAATTTCATTATATTTATTTCTCGAATTTTAAGTGTGTTAAAACTAAAACTAATTCAATGACTATTTTTGTTACTATTAATACTTGAATTTGAAATTAAAATCTTGGAAGTTAAACTTTCCTATTTGGTTTAAATTTGTAGTTATTGGATTGCAAGTATAGTAATGAAGTTTTATTAAACATAAAATTAATTATGAATATTGTTACCTAAATATGAAAAAATGTTACTGACTTTTCTTGATTTTGAATATTTTTAAGCACAAAGAAAAATTGTATCAATAATAGAAATTACGTGCTTTTACTTTATGCGACAGTTTTTTTTGTATCTAATGTCAGAAAACAGTTACTATTGTATTTAAATGTATTTGACATCGACAACTATATTTGAACAAGATAGTTTGTTCCAAATACGTTTTAAAGGTTATATTAGTAAACGTATATTCTCTACAATTAATAAATAATATTATCAAGTATGTATCAATATATAATGATATTAAACTATAATTCTAAAAAATAATTTAAATAATTTATGTCCTAAAGATTTCTTCAATAACAGAAATTTCTTTAAGTCTTTTCCATTTTTACTAAATAATATAAATTAAAAAAATATATAAATACAAAAAATACTGGATCGAATAAATATTTACAAATTTACAAAAATTATTAAAATTCTTAAATATTAAAAATTTTATTATATATTTAAATTTTTAAGAAAAATAACTTGCGAGAAACCATATATAAAAAAAGAGTTCAAAGATTAAGATTAGGCTACAATTTTATTCATTCTTTTGTTAAAATTCAAATGGATTTTAAATAAAATTCTATTGATAGGATTTATGTTTCTCTTAAACTTAAATATAAGAAACGTCTTTTTATAGAAATTATTTTCACTAGTCTGTTTAATACAAACTTGAAATTTTTATTTTTAAATTTAAATTTATGAATAACCCATAATTTGATATTAAATCTTGTTTGATATATTATAAGTGGCAAAATTTCTATTTTTTTTTTTTTAGAAAAATATCAATATAATAAATATAAAATTACAAGAATTAATTTACTATTTCTATGTATAGAGATCGTAATCACTATTGATACATTCAAAAATAAATATGATAATGGTATAATTGATCACCTGGTTACTAATTTTAGCAAATTTAATTCTTTTTCAAATTTTGAATTTTCAACATTTTATAAAATTGTGAAGTTTAACATGTTTCATGCAGTAAATTATTCGTATATCATATGTCTCCAAATATTATATATTTTAACAACATCAGTTATTAATAATTTAATTATAATTTTTTATACGAAAACTTAATCAACAATTTTTTTTCAATACGTTGATCTTACCCTTAACTTTCGTTCCAACAAGATTTACTTGTTCATTATATGTTTTCATTATACGAAGAAATCTTATCCAATTGCATTGTCGTTTATTGCGATTATATTTGGAATGTAATACTTCATCGTAGCAGCCATACTCTCGTCTGATCTATAAGTAAATAATGAAATAAAAGTTTAAATCGTTGTAAAAGTTTGAAGACAAAAGTATATTTTAGTAATACTGAATTTTAAAAAATATTTATGACTGTTTTATTATCACGATTCACAGAATACTTATTAAATTAAAATAATCGTATCGAATTAATATAGATTCAACATATTGGGAACATTCTTGAAATATAACATCTTGTTTATATTTTATTACAAATTAAAAAAATTTTAAATAAATTTATCGAACATCAATTTTTTTACAAATCCCAATATAAATTATAACATTATAACAACATATAACACAATTATAACATAAATTTTAAGAAATATTGTTTCTTTAATGATCTTTATAATTTATTAATTCCTTCGTGAAATACAATTTTATATTTTCTCAAGATTTCAAATTATTTGATCTGCAAAAATCAATATATCATTAACCCTATCTGTATTTTTGTAATTTTGTGTTTTCTTAATTTTTAAACAGTAATTTTATTAGTTATTTAAGCATTCTATGTAAATATAAAAAAATGTTTCTTTTATATAATTTATTTTCTACTTTTGCTTTATATTATTTAAATTGCTATTAATATGTGACATAAAAATAAAATAATACCACCAGTAGTAGGATTAAATTATATAATTTATATAGTAAAAAAATTTGTTTTTTATTTTGCTTATTAGTATCATTATATTCAAGTAAAATTAAAATTATAATTTATTAAGGCTTAAATGTTTCATATATGTCAGCAAGATTTAGTTATTTTAAAAATACTTAAAAAAAAAAGATATAGATAGACTATTTGGACTTATAATAAAATTATATATTTTATAATATTGTATATTAAATGATTAAAAAGATTATATGTTATAATTTTAATTAATAATATAAAATAAAGAATTTAAAAAAAATAATTTAAAATTGTCTCATCGAATACAGTTTCTTATACGTGGGCATATAAGGATGAACATATATTTTCATAAGTAATACATTCATCAAATACTTAATTTTTAAATACTTAAAATGAATTAAACTTCCTTTTAATATCGATATAAATTTATTTTATATAAAAATTGTCATTTATATTTATTTTTAATTTAATCCCCGTTATTCACAATATTATGCCAATTCAATTAATTATATAGAAATAAAAAAAAATTGATGTATTTTTTTTATATAAGTTATGATATTTATATTTAAATTGAATAACTATTATTAAAAAATGATTTGATACTTTTATTTATCATAGCAAATTTGATCATACAAATTTCTATTTTCAAATATTCATAAATAATTAAATAAATCATCAATTTTAAAATATTTTTCTAATTTTTACCATGATTTTTTTATACATTATAAAAATTATGTATACTTCTTAATAAGTACATAGTACAAAGAGTGTATTTATTATAGTATAGTACTTATGGCTTTAAACTTTCTTCAATATTTAATAATATCACAATTCGTTATCAATACTTTTAATATATATTTTTTATTTATTATTCAAATGGCTTACTGTAGCGTCATAGTCTATTTCATTTTAATATTATATTCATTTTTATATAAAAAATTCTTATAAAGTACATTCATTAAAACAACTTACATATTCATTTTTATAAAAATCAATTTTTAAAAATTAAAATTTTCTATAACTTATAAGCCAACTTATATGCTATCAAATTTTCAATACTTTTAAATGGAAATAAAAAAATCAATGAAATAAAACAATAATTTATTTTCATTTAGATAAATTTTTTACAAATACATTGTTTTAATCAACCTCTATATAATGTTATAATTGATATATATCTATCAAAGTTATACCTTTGTTCACTCTCTTTTATCTTATACTGTAGGCAAATAAAATATTTTTTATCTAAATATTAAAATTTTGATAAATTAATACTTTGATTAAAAATAAACACTTATATCCGAAACAATAATTTATAATTAAAACATTTTACTTACATCGTTATCGTCCAATAATGAATATAGATCAATTTTGTCAAATCTGATAGAACCTTGAAATGGGTAAATAAGTGTTCCAATAGGTATAAATACATTAGACCATACTGATACCCTAATATCCGATAAAAAGGATTTGGAGTTGCTTTTGTAGGTAATTTGATTACAGTTGGATTGCTGATGGCTAGTTAGTGCCAGTGAAAATTCTTTCGGAATAAGTACGGAAGTTTCCATTCCCGCATGCGTTTTTGGCCCTGAATATCACTATAAAGTGTTTATAATTCAGAAATTTGTGTCAATGCTCACTATATATTATTGTTTTTATAAATAAAATAGTGTAATGTACAATATTGTCGACTGACTGAAAACGGGATTAACCAAGTGATCTTGACCTTGCAATGGGTTAGTGTAATATTTGCTACCGAATGGGTAGTCGCGAATAGCAGTGGCGGTCGACTAAACCCCACCTTTTTCTCGCTCCCCACTATTTGGTCGAAGGTGCTGCAAGATACCCTTCGCTTTTCGTTAGAAGGATCCTGTATTGGATAGCTAGTATATTACAGCTTCTGAACACACGTGGGTGAATTGCTAGGATCAGCACCTGTTGCTCTCCCTACTTCTTAGTTGCTGCACTTCGTAACACACATACGACCAATCTCTTTTAACTTATTCTCTCTCTCTCTCTCTCTCTCTCTCTCGCAACATCTTTAACATATTCTGTCGGCATCTTTCTCTTTCGCATGAAAGACATTCACAGAAAGTCACGGATCCATAGGCTTGCCCAAATCCGAACTATGCACAGTAAAAATGCATATATATTTCCTCCTGAGATGTATAATGCTATTGCATCTCTTTTCCCATTTTTTTCTTTTTCATTGGTGTACATTTTGTCTCTATACGTATTAAGCATTTCAATATTACCTTTTCTACTGATATAAAATACTGTTTCAAATTGTTAAAAATTTGTTATTAGATGGATTCGTTTCCATTATATTGTACTGTAATGATTTAAAATTATTTAAAATGATTTAAAATTATTAAAAAAAAGAATTTTTAATTTTGCCAAAAAATATTTAAGGTAACATTTAATTAACATTAAGAATCAGGTAATATAATTGTTATTGTTGTTTAATATAATTGTTATATAATGGATTATATTTTCATTGTAAAAATTTATTGACAATTCTTTAAAATTACACTTAAAAATATCTTTAAAAATTACTAGTAAAAAACCTAATTATCGATTAGTTATTAAGTTATCTGTTATATACATTATCGAAATATTTTCAATTGTTTTCAATCAGTAAAACATTCATTTTATATATTTTTATATTTTTTATATTTTTTATATTAAATATATTTTTACATATTAAATAATTTAATAATACAATTATTCGGTAACATTGTACAATTTCTTTATTGAGAAAAAAATAACATAATAATATATTTAAAATTTAAAATATAACATAGTATAATAAATTTTAATTTTTATGTATTACATACATCCAAAATATTTTATACAATTAAAAAAATAGTTACAAATAAAAATATTTAAAATAAAAAATAAAAACTTCAAATTTATCGTAATGCAGAGGTTTTAGAATTTTTAAATAACATGATTATCTAATACTATTAATATGGAGAATATTGTTAACAAAATTGATTATCGTAAAACCCTCTTTTAATAATCATTCTTTTAAATTCTGTGGGCCTGTCTTCAATTTCCCATTATTACTCTTGTAATACTAATACCATACTACCTCTTTTTGTATCTTTGAATTTGTTGTCAAAATTTTTAAATTGATTAATAAAAGTAATAAAATCTTTTACCGATGTTCGTCTGATATATTTTTTAACTTTCATGCAGAAAACAATAAATCAAGTTGTACCTTTGAAATATTTTCTGATTGTGCTTTAAATTTAACGAATTAATTCATTAGTAATTAATTATTACACATTTTTCCTATTATTATATAAGAACTAATTAATTTGCAATGAATTTACGTTTACACCTTCTCGTTACACAGAAATTTAAATCTGTTAAAATTTTTAATCATTTTTCCAATAATATCTATAAGTATTATACCATTTTATACTATCCAATTTCATTATTTTCTTGTAGATTATGCAGACTAAGAAGCATAAGTTCGTTTTAGTTAATTTAATTTAGTATTAATTCTTATAAATTCTTATATTACAAAATTTATCAATTTTATTTTAAATATTTACATTTCAGTATTATTAATACGTTTATTTTTGTAAGCTTATATAAGTTGGAACGAAGAAAGAAGCAAACACAATTAAATATATTATCAGTAAGGTAGGTAGAGACAAACTTTTGTCTCCAAAAATAATCTGACACTCTCTCCAAGGAAGTTGAATCATTAATAATTTTCCGTTTCATATAGTAAATTCCATTTTATATCAAAATATGTAAAACAAATTAAGCACTAAAAGAATGTCATTAATATACTTAGTATTTATAATTTTTAAAGTTGTTAAAGAAATGTTAAAATAGGATAAACCTTAAAATTATCGTAAATAATATTAATATATCATCAGATTTTTAACACGATTTATTAAATTTATTAACTGCAAAAAGTATATGTAATAATAAATATATACATTATAGATACAACAATATTCAGATTATAAATTAAAATATGCCGAAAAAAATTTAAATCATTTATAAGAGAGAATTTAATTTTAAAAACAGAAGATTCAATATTTGTGATAAACATTTTGTATGTTAATCCATGTGATCTTACAAATATTGTAGATAATATTATCGATGAATAAAAATATTTTACTTTCTCTCTCTCTCTCTTTCTTTCTCTAAATCGACGCCCTCTTAATTATATACTAATAACTATTTTCAGAACTATTATTTAAATAAAATTATTAAGGATTAATTGTTCTATATAATTTCTTTTATATTTTTGTGCAGATATCCTTCATTATATAAATAATTATAAATTTGAATTGTCTTCCCAAAATTGCTAGAGAATGCCATATTATTACTTGTCATAGTTTTATTAATTCTGTAATATCAATTTAAATCCAAAGTCGCTTATTAAATTAAAACATTATATTGTCAATATTTAATAATGTTATCGTATGCGTTCCACTGTTTATATGCACTTACAATTACAAAATTGATAGAATAAATAAAATACTTCAAATAAGAATGAGACCAATGCCCAATATAAAATATAAGAAGTTATAATTTCTTAAGGAATGTGGGAATGGAGATTATTTAGACACGTATGAAATTGTCTTGTAATTCATTCTAATTGAAGTATAATAAAAAAGAAACAATTATATATTCGTTTTGTATTACATTAAAATTTTATGTCTTAATGTACATATGAATCGATCCAAAGCTTATTTTTAATGAAGATAATATATTTTTTATTGAGGAAAAAAAAGTAATTAATCGATAATTGTTTTATAATTAGAATAATTTTAAATAAGACTTTAAACTTACAAAGATTTTAAACTGATTTGATTTACAATAAATAAAAAATTAAAAATCAAAATTATTAATAATTCTATATAAATGATAGAATGTTTTAATGTAACTTATCTTGAAAATAAAAAGCAATTTTTAACTTTTTTTCATTAATTTATGCTTTAGTATGCTATTATAATTGTAATATCGAGTATATTTTTAGACTCAAAAGTAAAAGAATAATTTGTATTATATAGTGTTGTTTTACATATCATCTCAGTTTAATAGCTATATTTCATAGATTGTTCACATATTGTACGGAGTAGTTTATAATTTTGTATATTAGTAATAATTTTGTGATATTATTTTTAATTAAAATCTATAATTCAATATTTTATTTTCAATATTTATTATATTATTTATTTATATTTTATTACAATTAAACATTTTATCAATTATATTATCAAATGTAAAATGAAATATCTTAATTAAACGATTTGAAATAGCATTTAATGACTGATCGAATTTTTAAATATTGTATAGTGAGAACATTCTGATTTACAAATTTAATTAGTATAAATATGTGTCAGAAACTACTTATTCGATATAAATTTCCTATTGAAATTGTAGAAATTAGTTATCTTATTTTTATTACTGCTTTATTTCGGAAATTTGTTAACATTTTAAACATTATTCTTCTTATAATCTTAATTGTTATATTACTAGATGTTTTCATAGACCTCAAATCTCAATATAAAATTACGAATAATTCAATGAAATCTCTTGAAATTAAGAAAGATCATTTTTAAACTATTTATCTTATATTTTATATTAATATATTTAATATATAAATGAATATTAACCTTAATCAATAACTTTAATAAAATAACATTATATCTGTTTCTGAAGAATTAAAATTGTTTTATTGTTTTCAGAGTACAAAAATCATAAAAAAATCTCTAATTAAATTGAAATTTTATTTCATATATTAGCATTTAAAATATTTTTTTAATAATTTGATCTCAATAATATTTCGTAAATGTGAAATATTTATAATAATTTAACTATAATGAATATAACTATTATTTGAGCAATATGCATTGAAAAAATATTGTACAGTGTTATGTTTTTCCTTAAACGAATTAATGGTTATTAAAATTAACATCAAATGAAATATAGTAGTTTGTTCCTATTTCATGAACTTGAGGCTGAATTTTAATATAAAAATCTATCCACGGATTGCAAGTAATTTACAGGTTTTCTTTCGGAACTTAGAATTAATTATAAAAATGAACAGGTAATTTACTCGAATAAATCAAGTTAAATAAATAAAAAAGAAATTAATCGACTGGTAATATGACTATTGTAGTATTATTTTTATATAAATATAAAATATTATAATATTAATATTATTATATAATATTAGGATAATGCTATTATTATAAAAATACTTTATTTATTTAATAGTTTTTATTTAATAGTAATAATTTTTTTTATTTTTATATTTAAACATACTCTTATTTAATTTAGCTTCCTTGAAGCTCTTGCTCGAATATTTTACGTTAATAAATTAATAATTTTTGTATCAAAATCATAATTAAAATTAATATTTAGGAAAAAATTAAGAAGCTTTAATAATAAACCAATGTTAATATTTTATGACTGATTTTAAAATTTTTTAAATTTAATTTTGAAAATTTCAATTGTTTTTATAACGGCTTTTACATTCATTTGATATACTATTTAATATTTAATATTATATCAAATTACAATATAAACTTTTGGTAAGATTATAAATATTATTTGTTAAAATATAGAAATATAATAATATATTATAATATAAATAATATAAATAATATAAATATAAATATAATATAATATAAATATTAATATAATATATAATAATATAAAGTATTATTATATATATAAAAGGATTTTTAAATTATATATCTTAGCATCTGAAAAATTACACTGAAATAACAAAAATATGATAATTAATCGTTTAAAATACATAGCGCAGGCGTTGAGAAAATTTTATCTATTTATTTTTCTTGGCCTTGTGTTTTATCTCTTTTTATCTTACAGAAACTGTATAAGACCTCAGAAATCAATATTGTACAGTCTGCGCAACATAACAATATCAAATAGTCAGGATTTATCCTTCACAGTGAATACTATTAGTACAAGTTTCATCGTATATCTCATATTGATTAATGTTACCCTTTTTTGTGGTAATAATCATTAAATATTGATAATATCAGTGACACAAACGTTTACAAAAATATGTTATTAATAAGCTTGTCTTAAAAATTATAAATTTCTCCTTTGAATTCATTATAACAGAATTATAAAGCAAGTGTAATTATTTCTAATAATTTGTGTGCTGTTAATTAAATCCATTATTTACCTTCTTCAATCAGCATATAAAATTAAAAAAAGAAAAAGTCGTCATTTAGGTTCTATTAAAAAAAACCTTTTTAGGTGATTTGAAATTAGGACTGGTATTTGATCTTCATCAGCAATTTACAGCAACATCCCCAAAACGGCCAACTCTCGTCGTCGAAGTGCTGCCGGTGATCCGCAGTACGTAACAAATTTTTACTCGAAAAAGGTTTCGGATCGACAAGATCTGTTTCAGCCTCTTTGGCCTGACAAAAAATGGAAGATAAGACATCCTCTCGATTTTCCGAATACCTTTTTGCTAAAATGGACGGTCAAGACGTCTCGGCCTCGCAGGGTCCCCGTAAGATGACCGCCGATACTAGAAAGTGGATGCGTGAGAATCTTCTTCTCACTGTTACACTATCTGGTGTTTTTTTGGGCGTCTTCATAGGTAAATTAGAATTTCTGTAATTTTTTTTTTAAAACGGTTATTAGAATAAAAATTAAAGCACAAATTTAAAATAAATAAATTTGAGTAATTATACATATTATTTTAACTTCTTGCAAAAACAGTAATTTTTTATACCTTCATAGTATAATATTAAAAGTTAAGTGAACACAAATTATTAATAATATAAATCAATATAATAAAATTTTTTAATAATATTAATATAAACTAATTTTATTATACACTTTATTTATAGCTAAACTTAAACACCATCAATATTAATAAATTTGTATTAATAATTAAATAAATCTTTAGACTATAATAAATTCTAATAATATAATGAATATTTTTAATACAATTAACAGAAATAAAGTAATTTATTGTATATATATATATATATATATATATAAAATTTGTATTGTAAAATTTATAAAAAAAGTATTGTACATAGATTGAAAATTGTATTTTAAAAAATTCAATAAAATTTAATAGATATTATTAAATATCAAAAAGAAATATCTTTTATAAGGTTAATATTTCCATAATTATAATATATTTATAATAAAAATATTATAGATGGATCCAATTTCTAATTAATTGTAATAGCCAATACAGTTAGTTTGATGATGTACTATTTAATATAACCATTATGTATCAATAGAAATTATATTTCTAACGTAATATTACATATATAAATATTACTTTTAGCATTGTAAATAAATTAAAAATCCAAAATATGAAAATCGTGAAATTTAAGAAATTTAAATGTTTAGAATTAGAAAATATAGATATAATTTATTAAAATATTTGTATATAAATATATGTTAAAGATACCTAATTTTAAACTACCTGTTTGTAAACATATAAATTGTGATTAATAAAATAACTTATCAGATATAAAAATAAACTTTGACAAAAATAAGTTATCAATAATATATTAAATAACTTTAAATATTTATTAGTATTTTTAAGAGTTTTAAATGATATGTAATAAATTAAAATAAATGTTAATATTTATCTTGTATTTAGCAATCTAATTTGAACAAAATTTTTCACTGAAATGGACAAAAGAATAATTTGAATTATTACAAATTTCATAATAAAATTTATAAAAATCAACTTTCAATAATAAAAATCAGAAAATATTTGGGAATATGTAAAATATTATTTATCTGTCTCTTTTTCTCGCATATTGATTTACAATGTTATTTATTGGGCTAATACACTATTGCTAGAGAAATATAATTTTCGAGTAAATGAAATAATAGTCTAAGGAATTTATGTAACGCTTCTGATAAACGATTTCTGTAACACAGACATTGGATATTAGGCGTAACGTGTTATTTCGAAATACTCGTTCCCTTTGAAAAATTTTTCGTACTTCTACAATCTGTTACAATGTAAACTATAACTTATGCGTTTGTATTTATGCCTATGATAATTATTCGTATACATCAGTGATGATAGTATAAGTAATTAAATAAACAATTTGTATTAATAATCTGCGGAGATAGTGACATCAGTCAAAATGCTGAAAAACAATACAATATGACTAATCACATTTAACTTCATAGAAGCTTACTTTACCAAAAATATGATTTCGTAGTACATACATCAAAATACTGGTCTGGCTTTTCAATTGTGTGTGAGGATATTATGATTATGCACTTTCATTTTGCTATTTATCATAAATATTTTCGTTTCCTACTCTTCTTAGTATTTTTTATTTTATATTTTATATTCTTTTCTTTTATAATTCACTGTTCATTTTTCTCCTTCTTTTCCTTCATCCTTATTATTCTTAATTCCATTAATCATTTGAAAATGTCGATATCTTCAACCTCTTTCCTCACACAAAGTAACAGTAAATCGTATCGAACGTTCTTATCATCAGTCTATTGGTTAAATGCTAAATACATAATCATAATATTACAACAAGAGTTAGATTAGATAGATACTAGAGATATAAGAATTTATTGATAAGCAATGAATGATAAGAATGTAAGAAAGTTACTGTATTTCATCCCTTCTTTTATCTCTTATTAGCGGCGCAACGGAATTTGCAATAGAATTATCAGTACATGGTTTTTCTTACATATTTTACTACAAATTGTACCTTGTTCAATCACTACTAATATTATTATTTCTTATTTTTCTTGATAAATCCTACTCTGATGATCTTTTGATATAATTAATATGTATATCAATACTCAAATTGTATTTAAATAATTTCTTTCGATTGAATTAAGCACGCATAGTTTTTCTAAATTACTTATTATCTCCTTAACTAATCTCAAATTTCAATCCATTTTGATATATAACATGAAAAATGATATACTTCACCTGTTTCCTTGTAATTCTTATATATATGTGACAGAATACTTACAACTTTATTTGCAGTTCTTTTGCGATATTTCACTCTTCGAATATTTGTTTAACTGCAATTTGTTTCTGGAACTGGCAACTATTTCGAATTACTAATATCTCTAACAAATTTATAATACAAAAATTAAAGTATTTTTGATGTACGCGTGAAATTCTTTTACTCTTTTTTACTTTATTTTTTTTTTGTTTTTTTTTTGTTTAAAATTATATTTAATAACATAATTGTTAGTTTTGTAAATGAAATGAAATGATGATTGATGTAAAAAACAATAATATAGTTTCATTAATACATCAAATAGTATATTTATATATAATTATATCTATATAATTATAATTAATAAAAAAGTCGAAAATTTTAATTTATTTCAACAAAAAATACATTTAATTTTTATCTTTGCGAAAGGCATGCTTATATCATTAAAGATTTTCTTTAATGTTTAGAAAATAATACAAAATTGTCTAACAGAGAAAGCATAGGAACTCGAATATCTTATTCACTAAACATCATAAATTTTCTGTCTATACAGATTCGGAGGCCATATATATCAGCTGAAGTTCATCTTTTTAGGATTATCTTTGATAATATATATTGATGCATACTCCTTTCATAAAATATTAAGATGTATTTTATTCTCAGCCATTTTTGAAGCATTTTATATATTTACGAACAGATTTTTAACTTATTCTTTACAATTGCTTTTTTTAGAATTAGACGCAATAATTCCCTAATTATTTTGAAATCATTTGATTCTACTGTCGATAATGTTGATTTATGCCGACATATTTTATATTTTGCAATTATCATAGAGTATTTTCCTTTATTTGAGATAATAGCATTTTTTATTTTTTTATTTAACAGTTTCGTAGGAATTTTTTTTAAATATTACTGATATTTCATTTTTATTTCCTCTACAATCAAAAAATCTTATGAGCTTGAAAAATAATATAATTTTTTAATTAAAAGAAGAATATTATATTAATTAAATTTCTAATATTATTTAGTTTCTTAACGAATTTTAAAAAATTGCGAAAAATTTTCAAAATTACTTCATCAAATTGATCAATTATAAAAGCAATAGTTTTGATATCGACAATCAAAGGTTACATAATTTCTGATGAACAAATAAATTATATTTGAATTAAATAGTAATTGTTTTCATTTTCGTCATTAAATAACAATGAATCATTAAACATTATAGTTTGTTTCAAAAAATAAAAAACGTGAAAAACTTTAATTTAGTTTTATGATAAAAATATATTTCTAATACATTCCTTAAAAAATTCCTTAAATATTTAATAAAAAATATAGTTCTATATGTACTAGTTTATCAAACTTTTAAAGAGTGGTCAGATGTAACTTTTAGATGACTCGATGGTAGAGTTTTTCTAGACTTTTTAGAAACGTATTTTCTTTCTAACATACATATATAAATAATTCTGCACACGTATTGTAAATAACTATGAGAAGTAATAATTGTTGTTCAATGAAAATTAAATTAAAAATATATTAAATACATATTCATTTATCATAGATGTTCGAAAGTGTTTGTTTATTTTGATCCGATTTAAAGGATCACATGAATTTAGTTTTCTGGCTCGAACTGCCAAGTTCAATAGCTCAGTTTATTTGTCGCTCACCTTAGCGATTCTTAGGAAATGACATACGTGGAAGGGCTGTAAATATGTACAGTGTGTAAACTTCGTGTAGGACATCATTTATTTGGATTTATTGACAATTATACTATTGTTATTCTGTATTTACTTCTCGTAGTAGAGAAGGAGTTATGTTCTATCACAATGATGTAGTTGCTCATTGGTGATGGTTACAATGTCGTTGATGACGTTATGAGGATCAGCAATGCATTTTGTATATTCCCTGAAGGGAAATATGGCTTGGTTCAGGTCCGTGTAAAGGTCAACAAGGAGAGCCGACCAGGCTCATAAGGGGAATATGGGAAAGTTTATGTTGTAGTTATTCTCAATAAAGACTGATGGCATACCTTCGAGTTTAGAACGATATGATACCATGCTTTATGTAGTCACCTATTTTCTAGAACTGCAGTCAGCCCTTGACTAGTTGTTAGCCGTTGCGCACTGCAGAATTGAACGTAAGTTCCTTGCAATTGCTGCACTGAGAGAACGTTTGACTTTCTCTCTGCTGTAGACTCCGTTTAATGGCGTGGCTAGGACGTAGATGGCTGGTTAGGACGAGTGACTGACTCGGAGGAATAACTGGCACTGTGTACTGATTGACTGCTGAGTGATAACTGTGCGGAGTCTTGATGCGTGCTTCCTTAAGTATCATCGCGGTAGCTAAACCTAGCCGCCTTGCGGAAGGTTCGAGAATTGAATCGACTTTGCTATGTGAAAGCGAAGCAGCCTTGTAGAACGTTCAAGAATTTAAGCTTTGAGCTATTCGAGAATTCGGCGAAAGCAAATGTAAACATTCGAGAGCTAGACAGCTTCAGTAAAGTTCCGAGAACCGAAGGCCTCGAAAAAATGCTCCAATTCCGAACAATAGGGAATAAAATATAACAATATGATTCACAATTTCATATTATAAAATCTTCAAAAATCAAAATCTTAAAAAAGAGTCAATTTGAAATATCCGCAGAATAAAGAAAATAATAAAATAGCGCTTTTTAAAGTAATTAAAATATTATTAAATGACACGATAATTTTTAGAATTTTGGTTTTTTTTTAAAATCATTTATTAATATTATATATTCAAAAAGGTATAAAGAATGAAATTGCATAATAAAATTGAAATTATGATTATTTTATATGTATTTTTCTAATTATTCGAAAATTATTTAAAATTTATATAAAATTTAAAAATAAATCTTTGAACCACAATTATTTCGATATTATTATTAAATATCTTCATAATGAAATAATGCAGAAAGAGAGATAGATTAATTTATTTTGAAATTACTCCTAAATTCCAACATAATTTCTTTCATTAATTACAATCAGATTAATTTTTATGTAATATATACTTTATGATTAACAGGATTTAGTCTACGACCGTTGGGTCTAGGTGGAGATGCAGTAATGCTGATCGGTTATCCTGGAGAGTTATTTATGAGACTGCTAAAGCTTATGATTTTACCACTTGTTATTGCTAGTTTGATATCTGGTATGTACAATAGTTCGCGACTCATAAAATTTCTTATAAGTTTTGTAAATATTTGTTTGAGAATAAATAAGTGTCATTAGAAAATTATGTATATAAGGAATTCCTTAAATTTATAACTTATATAAAGTTTGATAAACCAATTTTTTAATTTATATAATCAAATATCTGTAAAAATTAATTTTTATAATAAGATTATAAAAAGATTAATCAAAAAATTTTATAAATTGTTTTATATTGAATCAGAACCATTAAAGTTTTTATTCTTATTATCCTTAACGTTTCTTGGCAATATAATAAATAATTTAGAAAATATATATAAAATATATAAAATATATTTGTAATATTACATTTAATTACGATCTCTGTTTTTAAAATTATTTTTAAACCAAACAAATAACAATCTAAAATAATATCTCTTATATAACAACTCGACATAAACACAACAGTATTTATATCTGTTTCGAAATAACAAATATTAATCTGCTAGGATCAGCAAGTTTAAATGCTCGGATGAATGGAATGATCGCAGTTCGTACATTGGTTTATTTTATTTTGACATCTTTATTAAATGCCATTCTTGGAGTAACTATTGTTCTTCTTATTCACCCTGGCAATCCTGGTCTACGAGAAGCTATAACACCTTTGGCAAATGCTAGGGCTGTAAATATTTTAGACAATCTGCTGGATCTCGGACGGTAAGAAAGTAACAACGTAAACGTCAATTATTATAAATGAATATGTATTTGAATTTGGAATAAACATTGATATTATACCATTTGTATTAATAAATATTTGTTCAGCATCTTTAAGTTTTTGCATACACATAATAATTCTTCATGAAAATACAAAATTCATGCTTTACCCTCTGTCTATAAAATGTTTAATAGATCAATTTATGAATACTTTCAAATATGTTTAAATCCATATATATACTTAAAACTTGTAAATGTGAAAGTTATACTATAAAAGTAAAAAGATGATATTTACATTCTCAATTATAAAATTTATTTGAATGTAATAGTTATATGAAAAAATTATATTATAATTGTATGTACGGAGTGCTCGTATAATTTATTAAACTAATATCCTTTATACATAAGGAAAATCTAATATTTATTAAGAAGATACTAGTAAATAATTAATATTTCGAATTTTTCAAATGATTCACAAATATAACGTATTCAATAAGCAAAACATGTATGTAATAATATCTTATATAAAGTATATATCATCATTTTATTTCAATTCTTGATTCTTTGTAAATATTAATTATATACATTAATTATGTACATAAAATGTTACAAAATGATAATGCAAACTTGTAACAATGAAGTTTATTAAAAAAGAAAACAAAAATTACAAAAGTAATCTAGAATGAAAAAGATATTAAACACTTGCATGTACATCAGACAGAACAATTGTACAAACTTTCTATTACCAATAATGATGGCAATAAAAAAATGTATTATTTATTAAAGTAGCATAGGCATATTTATTATAATAAGACTTATTTAGTGACAAAACAAGACAATATCAATAAGTGAAATAAACATAATTAAATGTTTTAAAGTATATTTTAATATTCTATTCAATATTCAAGCAAATGACTAGAAAAATAATAACAAAAAATTTATTATAATAAAAAAAAATATATATATAGCACAAAGTATGGGTAATTAAAATATATTATACATTCATTAAAAAAATTATGAACAAGTACAATTTAGAAACATAGATAATTGAATTTTATTCACACTTTTTAAAAATATAAAATATTTATTTAAAATATTTATTTATTATCGCAAAATATTAAATATATTGAAATTCGAATTATAGGTCACTTTAGTAGAAAATATATAGCAGTAGTAATTGTATTATAACGTTAGTTTAGGGCAGATATTATACGACTATTATAAACCACTAATAACATGTGTATATATATATATATATATATATATATGTATGTGCGCGTGCGTGTGTGTGTGTGTGTATGGATAGATAGAAATTATTAAGATACATTGAAAGAGTGCCTATAATTTTGTACACAGAGATATTATTGATTATTTTCAATTTTATCAAAATGAAACAATATACTTATAAATGAAAAATTAACAACAAAATGTATACAAAATTTAAAATAAATAATTCTTTAATTAATTACAAAGATTATTTAAAAATTTATATACATTATAATTGATTAATTTAAATGTACTGATCATTGTAAATTTTAATAAATTTCACCAGCAAAATAACTATTAACAAAAAAATTTTTTAATTTAAATTAATATTATAAGCTGACTCAACACAAAAAATTAGTCTATATTTAATTAAAAAATTTAATAAAAATACTAATATTTAAAGTACATTCTGCTTGGTTATTATGTGTGCTGAACTGTTTCACAAAGTATTAGATATTACAAGACATTATTGGATTTACAATTAAGTTTATAACCACTAGTACTTCGTTCAATAGTAATTGTGACAACTCTCTATGAAATATGAGTATATAATTATTTGTAAAAAAATGCCTTGTAAATAATTTCTTATAAAATAATAAAACGTATCAGGATTTAGATATAATAGATATCGTAAGAATTCCAAATTTTTTAAAAAGAATAATAAAAGGAGAGGTTAATCTTGTGAATGATATTATATAGATCTGTACAAGATTGTATTCTACACATGCATGCATACTCTCAGATTCATGTTATTTAAATAGGATGAATAGTAAAAAAAATAATACCCTTTTCAAAATATATTCAAAAGAATCCAATATTATTAACTTTGATATATTTGTACACAGGGATAGCAAACTTAAGATAATGTACTCATGGCTTAAATTAATTTTTTTCTTAATTTTGATTAAAATTAAATTAAAATTATACTATTTTAATATATTTATAGATTTCACATATTTTTAAAATACTATTTATTTAAATTTTAATTCTATTTATTTAAATAGTAAAATCGTAAAAAATTGAATTGTCCTGTAAAGAAATCCGACAAAAATATAAACCTATCCGTAAGAAATACAATTCAATTCCTTCTTGAAACACTATTTACAATCAATAACATTTTCACTATACATATAGATTCTATATCATGTGAGCGTGTAATTAAGTATCAATATATTTCAATTTCATTTACACATGCTATAAAAAATATATTGTCTACATTATAGGTGCTCAATCAATTTCAACTTATAATTTATTACCTTAAACATTCGCAGAAAATGAAATCGAGATATTTTATTACAAAGATTTATGTTCCAACTTGTGTGAAGATAACTATTTAGAAATCCTCACACTTATGTATAACAAGTTTGTACATAATGTGTTTAATTATATAAAAACGATTTATTATAAATAACTTATTGATATTTAATAAGGAAAATTCAAGATACAGGTGTACTTTAAAAATTAATAATAAGTAATTATAGACAAATTAAAAAATAAATCCTAAATATTATTTCAATTATTTGTCTAAATTGTACTTTTCAATGCATTAAAAGTATTAAATCCATTGGTAACAATTTCTGAAATACTCTTTAAAAAGTTATTTATTAAATTTTCTGATATAAAATACTGAATTTTTAAGAAATTAATTTTTTTAAATTATGTTTAATTTGATATGAAACGATTGTTAACTTTGGTAAATATACTTTTAATTATCGTTTTGTCAAAAATCAATGTTTTCTTAAATATTCAATAACATGTTAACATCAAATTTTAATTAATCGTAGTTTTAATGCGATGTAATAAAATACTAGTATTTATTAAATAAATATAATAATGCAAATGTAAAAAAACTAAACATGATTTTTCTAATTTTTTATTGTTTGTGACCTTTCCACCGAATATAAGAATATAAAAATAGATATAAATTAATAAATAAAAAAGCATTTGAATACTGATATCCCATTAAAATTCGTATTTACTTATGTTTAGTTAACTGTTTAAACTCATTAAGATTTGTACAGAAAAAATATATATATTAACAGGATAATTTTATACTATAGGATAGGACAAATTATATATATAATTGAGTCTTATAAATAAAAATATTATTTAAAAAATATAAAATATAAATATTATATGTAAATATTAAATTTATAACACCCACTTTTCTGCCGAAGGAAACCTTATTATTAAATAAAAGCAATAAACAAAAAGAAATTGTTTACTATTTAAAGTTTAGTAAAGTTATTAGTGCAACAATAAATATTTAACGCTATTTATTATAGCATTAGACTAGAAATAATGTATGTATATATAAATTCATATTATGATTGATGCATATAAGTACCTATTATACAATATAAAAAATTTTGTGTTATCATGATCAATATAAAATTCTTTAATTGACATTTCTTAAATAATATGCAGATAGGGGAGACGTATATAATTATACTGTATATATAAAAATGGAAGGAAATTCAATTTTATTTAAATATATTATATCATAATTAAATAGTAAAAATGACTTTATTATTTATTTTATTAAATAAAAATATATAATTTTATAAATTTAATACAAAAGTTATTTTGCAATGAATAATTAATTTTATAGTGATTATATAGACTCACATAATTTGAGTGAAAATCTATTCAATAACATGTTCAACATTTTTTTAGAAATATGTTTCCAGATAATCTTTTTCAAGCTGCATTCCAACAGGTAACTAGAAAAGAAAGTGCTATATAAATGTTTTGAATTTATTTTTAATAAATAAATCATGTGTAATAGGCTCACACAGTGTATGTACCGAAAAAGCATAGTTTTCAGAATTATAGTGATAAACTAATAAATCCTGAAGAGGAGGAAGTCATAAGAGTTGTACAATATCGTACTGGTACTAATACTTTGGGAATTGTTTTTTTCTGTTTGGTTTTTGGCACATTTCTTGGAACACTAGAAGATAAAGCTCACGTAGTTATTGATTTTTTCAAAGCAGTTTTTGAAGTAATTATGGAAATGGTATCGACTGTTATGTGGTTAGTAATTATAGTATATAATAAATAAATATATATATATTCATATTTATTAATACCACACGCACATACCCACGCACGCACGTACATTGTGATATATGCGTGATATACAATCGCCAATTGCTTATAATTATTGCTTATATAAAAATATATCATGAATATATAATAAAACTGTAATTTTACAACATTAAAACTATTATGACAAAATAATAATCTTGTTAATTAATAAATTAAACCAAGTTTCTTATTTTTAACGATTATGGATATAATTATTTTTCTTTCAATAAATATAAATACATTGTATATAAATAAATATTATAAACCGATACCAATCTAAATACGTTTACTTTTTTTTGTACTTCAGGATGACGCCAATTGGAATTACATCAGTAATAGCAAGTAAAATTCTTGGTGTATTGGATCTCTCGCTTGTTATGTCTCAATTGTTCTGGTTTATCATAACAATTATTATCGGAGTATTTTTTTATCAGCTAGTAATTATGCAACTAATTTATCTAATCATAGTAAAAAAGAATCCATACAAATTTTATGCTGGTCTTGCCCAAGGTACACTCACTGCTTTCGCTATGGCATCAACGTACGTTATCATTTTTTTATTCTATTAATATTCTGTACACTTATAGTATAACTCTAAACTGAAATATTACTAAAATTATTTGAATAATTTTACATACTATCAGTTGATTTTATTTTTACTTCTATTTTATATTACATTATAAAATTAAGTAAGCCGAAAAAAAACTTTTACAATAATAAAATTATTTAATAATAACATGATTTGTAGTAAATATCAATAAATATATCATTTAATAAATAGCTTAAAAAAAAATTTGAAACATCATAAATCGTGTGTACTTATAAAACTTCATAAATAAAGTTTTATTCAAATATAATTATAACATGTACATGATTTTTATAAGCATAATCGATTTTTTTTACATAATATATTAGATTTTTTCTTTTCGTTCAGTTATTAAGTTGTTTTTTTTTAATAATATATCTTTATTAATAAAAATATTATTTTTATTTGTTTGTTTTATAAAATATATTTGTAATATTTGATATTTTATTACTACACCTCTTTTTAACGTACAAAAAAACATTAATGTCTTATAACTTTGTTTCGAGTTTGGTTACTTTTTACCATCGTATTTAATATAAGGTAGATTAAAATGTAGAGAAATTTGAATACTTGTATACTTTTTAAAATATTTTTTTATAATATATATATATATCTCTTATATTTAATCGGAATAATATATATATATATATATGTATATAATAATTATATAAATTAATGTCCTATAAGAAAATCTAAATGCTTCAAATAGAAAAATTTTCAAAAACAGATCGATGTATATAAATGGACAAATCTTCTAAAATTATTATTTTCGTATGAATATTTTATTAAAAATACAAATATAATGAATAATAATATTTGACTATTTTAATAAATAGCATATTTAATCAAACATTGTATGGTAGATGATTACTTTTCTCGAATTACTTTCTCTAAAAATTTAATTTGATTTTCAATAATAATATAAACAATTTTCTAAACAAATAACATGACATTGATATCAAATGACAATCATAACAATAATGTAAATTAAACAGTAATGAAAAATTTTCGTTATAAACTTTTAACTAAAAAAGTTAAGCTTAATAAGTTCACTCAATAAGAAAATCCAATAAGTTTTAGAAATTTAATAATATTATGATTTAATTATTTGTATATATCAAGAATATAATTTAATTTTTATCATAATAATATATCATAATAATAACAAATAATATTTATTTTAAGTATAAATATACGATTCAAATATAATAAAATATATATAATAAATTGACTAGGAATTATGAACAAAATCTTTAATTACTATAATTTCCAACTAAATTTTTGAACGAATATTAATTATCATTAAAATCCTCTTACATTAACCAAGATCGGTAATTTATATATTTTTTTATAAAAAAAGGAACTCACAAAACTTATTCAAATTTGTGTTATTTAAAAAAATAAAGTCGAGATAATAATATAAATATTTATCAGTAAATAAATTTTATTTTATATTTTAGACAAATTACTATATATAAATCAATTAAAGTAGAAAATTATAAAGAAAGTATATAAATCTAAATTATCTCATATTTGTAATAAACAAATGATACTCCTCAAAATTCTCTCACAATAAAAAAAATTCATTATAAAAAATTCATGATTATAAAAAACAATCTAGATCTTAAATAATCCGTTAATTAAAAAATAATTCATATACTATTTTCAAACCTAGATTACCCTTTTTCTTTAAGTATGAAATATATACAAGATTTTAATCTAATTATATTCTGTACATATTTTATGTAGTGTTATCATAAGATTTCTTTCATAATCTAAATTTTATTTATTTTATAAAATTAAAAAATTATCACCTTAAATTAAAGCATACCTATTTTTTAAATATAATTAATAACAAAATTAATAAACATATTTTAATATATTACAGATTAAAATACATATGCGACAGCTGAGTAATAAATATTTTTCAAAAATCTTATATTTGTAAATTTCTTAAATCTTATAATGCTAATATAAATATAAATAATACTACTATATTCCAATATTATGTTGCTTAGATAGTGTTTGGAATTCCAGCCACCAGAATTGGTCGATTACCAAGGTGGATGGATTAGACCGTACCACCGGTTTAATTTGTAGCCACTATTGTAGATGCACAACAATTTTTGGAAAGATTGGGCTATTAGGTCGCCAGTATTTTTCAACGAAACGCTGAGCTATTAATTAAAAATGTTCGGAAGTTTATGACTTAAATTACTTGCACTCAAGATCATGTGTAGCCACTATTGTCCCGTGTATGCATGTTTGAAATCCCAGCCATCAGAATGGGCCGAAGACCATGGTGGTTGGATTAGACCGTACCGCCGGTTTAATGGCGATGGGGGGGGGGGGGGATGAGTGAGAGGTTAATGCATCAATTCAGTGTAAACACAATTGGTTTAGTGACTTTTATTTAAGGTTATCTTACATTGGTAGTTGTTGTTACCGATCGTTATGAAAATTGTTGAGCTCGTCGTGAATTTAATAGTTGGCAATAACTGTAGAACGTCGTTCGGGTGTGCAAGATGACAATGATCTTTACATGCTGTCGGCGCTTTAATGTACTAGCATGTACAACAGTAACTTTCTACGCTTTAATGTACTAGCGAAATATAACAGTAATTATAGTATGATTGTAGCTACCAGACAGTATCGGCGCCCTCTTCCGCGTTCTAACAATAATCAAGTTGCAGAGGCCTGACCGATAATACCAGTGCTGTGCCGTAGTAATGATAGTGTACCGGAGCTACCAGACAGTATCGGCGCCCTCTTCAGCGGTCTCATAAGAATCAAGTTGCAGAGGCCTGACCGATAGTGTCGGCGCTGAGCCGTAATAATAATATGTGATACAAATAGTTTGCTGGAGATGCCAGTCTATGTCGTCGCCCTCAATGCAGTCTAACTAGAGTCACGTTACGGAGGACGCACCGATAGCTGGCCAAAAATAGATAATAAATAATGTAAACAAATAGGTATACCTTGCACGGATTCCCGTAGACAGACGTGTAGAACTTTAACTGTTGTGACTTACACTATTTTCACTTTGACTTATTCAACAGACTGATTTGCTTCGTCGTCTGTTGCTCCTAATGTACAATTTCGTACATTTAGAGTTTGTAATTCTTGGAAATTCTGTCAAATTCTCGGAAAGCACACTTTAGTAGATTCGAGAATCTTCCTTTGTTTCTATGCGGATACAGCATAAGGCTTAAATTTCATCGTGAATTTTCGTAGCGAATACTTCAAATATTACGCATTAATAATAAATATAAATGTAATGTGTTTAAAAATAGTGTACCGGGCGAGGAGGGCCAAGTAACTAAGATTAGATGTGAGCTCCCGATGTTGATAGGAGGATTGTAGGCTAGTGGACAAGATAGTACATGTATTCAATAAAGAGTAGTTTTGTTATTTAGTTTGTTTTATTTATGATTGCACTAGTTGAATTATAATTAGTTTTATTTTTATAATTGATTTTTTTGCTTTTCTTGATTTGTATGTTTATTGCTGCTGAGCTATCACGTAAGTCGCATACACAGGAAGAAGTTGATGCCTTGCTGGTCCTCTATATGTAACACACGTGTAAATGAAATAATACACACAGAAGAGCGAGGTCGTAAGCCCCCGCGCTTCCTTGTATATGAGCACGTGGCGTCGCTTGCATTGCTTGTATTATGTTGTGCAGATATCTTTACATATCTGTAGATTGGCGTGTATAGCTTGATATAGTTAAGAATTAATTTGGAATGGAACGTTACCTCGTGAGTCTGCACGTTGTGTATAGCTATGTTTTGTCTTGTTCTTTGAGTTGCCTCGTATGGCTCCTTGAAGTTTGATTGTGTATACTGTGCGAACTCATATTCGTAGTTCTCGATTCCCCTTTTTTGTATTACACTGCTGCGAGTGTATGATTTGATTATCTAGTACTTGTGTTGAATAGATTAATCTTGGACTTTTGCGTTTAATTGACTTGTTCTTTTTGTGTTAGATAAGATAAGATAAGTGATTGTGCCATGCTGGCGTTGCCTTTTTTAAAGCCTTCTCTCGACCACGCGGTGGTCGATGAGAATTCCCTCTCTTTTGGTGTCGCCAATCAGAGCTGTCTTGTCGATCATGGCGTTGCCAATGAGATTTAGTTTTATTAGTGTGCCCAATCAGAATTCTTCTTTAGTTTATGGTAATTCTAATCACGGCGCCTTTCGAGTGGTGGGGTCTCCCACCAGTGAGTCTTTCTAAGATGGAGGCTCCAATGAGAGCGGGTCTTGTTCAACCCCCTCCATGACGGGGGTCTTGATGCCGCGGTTTTCCCTCTCCATCCTATCATTGTTGCATGTATTTCTTATAATCATGCGCGTTGCGATCGGTCAGTGTTGTGAAGGTTAGGTGTAGCATTGTTTTTGAGTGTATCAACTGGCTTGTGTTTTTCAGGCTAATTTTATGATTTGTGTACGCCAGATGTTTTATAATTTGTCGTCGATAAATGCTTTATGACGAGGCCGTGTCAAATGTCTCGTAGCATTAGTTTTATGACTTGTTTTGCTGGACACTTGGAGCCTTGTTCTCGCCAGGTGTTTATGAAGTTTATTTTCTTAAGATATTCGAAGTTTTGCTGAATTGTTTAGATTTAGTTAATCCGAGGCGCGTTTTTGAATGTTATTACTCGCGTAGCCGAGAGTTGCTTTATCGGAACTCTTATCTCGATTTTTCCAGATGTTTAATGAGCTGTGAGTTTTCGTACATTCTTGAACATAATGGAATCATTATTACTGGGTAGTTCAATCCTGAACGGATAGCAAAAAAACTCATTTGAAATAAATTAATTAATAATTATTTATTATTAAAAATCAAGGATGTTATAATAAATTTACAAAGAAAAAAGTTATATAAAATTAAACGAATCAGATATATTTTAAAATTAGAAAGAAATTACAACGCACCATTAACTATTTTAACCGAAAACTCATTAAAACAATTACACTTTATGCATTTTCATTTACGTAAAGGTGACAATGTTATAATTAAATAAATAATATTATTATAATTTTTCATTTTAATCAATAAATTCAATATTAATCTTGAAAAATTTTGAAATATTGTATAATAAATCGAAACTGTAAAAAACATTTGCTAGTCTTCTTTGACATATGTTTATTATTCATTGTAATTGTAATTTTCTAATAATTACATTATTTTAAATAAGTATATTAAAGCATTATCAGTACGAATAACGATATCAGTATAGAAAAATATAATAATCTCATTTTGAAAATTTATTTATAAAGGTGAACAAAAATTAAAAAATTAATTTCGATTGAAATTAAAAATAAGAAATATTTGTATATAATTAGATTCTTATAAAAGAAAAAGCAATGTTAAAGTAGAAAGGCGTTATGCACTTGTTATATATGAAGCACATATTAATATATTAATACTCTATTTAATAATGCATAATTTATTTAATTTTTGGAAAAATGTTAATATACATAATAGTTTTCATGTGTCTTGTTCGATTTTAAAGGGTTAGTTTATGGCTCGAACTGCCAATTCAATAGTTCAGTGGATTAGTCTCTCGGCAGGATAATTTTAAAGGAAAACAATAACAGACAAGGCTGAAAAATATAATATATTTATTAAAACAAGGTTAATGATTGTAAAACAATTATAATAATATTGCACTGTTGTGTAGAGATAATTAATTCTGTTGGATTATCAAATTATTATTAGTAGAATAGATTATTAATGTCAGCTGATGTCGTCAGTCAATCATGCTTGTGAGGCAGCAAGGGATGATGGTGTAGAATCAAGTATGCTTGATGTATGAATGGTTATACTTGATGTGGTGTCGGACGTTTAATGGAATTTATTATGTAATCAATTGTGTCTTTAATTATGTAAGGGGACAGTAGAAGAGTCTAGTCACAGGTAAAAGCAGTTAATGGTAAGATTTCTAATTCGTGAAGGATTTAACAATCTGTGTTTATAGTCTATTAGTCGATCTGTGTTGTTCTTTTGT